TACATGGTTGAAAGATCATGCCAAAGATAAGTAACATGAAAACAGTAGTAAGAAGAGGAGGAGAGAATGAAAAGAGGGAGGGCCCCGGGGAGGGGGGGGGGGACCAAAGATGATGCGAAATTAGGAGGAATCGAGAGGATAAGATAAAAGAGTGGAAACGGAGAAAAAGAAGGGGAAGATGAATCATGGAAGGAGTAAGAATCATGGAAGGAGTAAGAAAAATAAAAGCATGGAATAAAATAAAATATTTAAAAAAAAGAAAGTGGCGCGGAGAAGACGAAGAATAGGAAGAAAAGCGAATTTACCTTTGCTTTCTTTAACCAAATATATATGAATATGTTAAGCCATCTGCGACTGTCGCTATAAATAAGTACCTGATTATCCATCCAGGAAGTTTAAAAGCAGGTACGACCTTTCAAGAAGTTTAGTTCTGTGCAAGTGTATAGATTAAACCGCATGCTCTGTGTGTGGGGGGAAACCACTTCCTGCCTATATTGCCCAAAATAGAAAACCATTGGGCTAGATCACAGCTGCACATAAGTACTGCATTTCTTACACAGGCGAAATCAGAAAACACATACTGATTGTCATACCGACGACAAACATGGCAGGTAAGCAGTAATTATAATAAAGGTGAACAAGTTTACTTACTACTGCGCGTAATACTCATTTTAATATACGAATGTTGAATTATGCAATTAAATATTGTTTAAAGAACCAAGTAGTAGTTTCACTTTCGAAATCAAGTGCCTGTTTTTCAGGAACAGAAAAATGAAAGCTAATTCGCGGAGTTTGTTGTGTCTTTATCAGCGGAGTACTAAATACAGCACATACCTCTGCTGTCTTGCCCGCTAAGTTTTCTAGTCACAGTTTGTGCTGTATTTAGTACTCTGTTGATAAAGACTTTAGCCGAAACGTTTGGTTGTGTTTGTGTGCGTCTTTCCATTCCCTCCATTCAGCTTTCTATTCATATTCTGTGTTATGTTTAGCATTCCTATTTAATATTTAGCAATACGTGACGTAAATTTCTAGTGTGGGTATAGTGGTTCAACCCCGCCCCTTTCCTAACCAAAATGTATTTTGGGAGGGGAGCCCTGGGAGAAAGATTACAGGGAGCCATCAGTATTTGAACCTTAGCTGACAGATTGACCCAGCCTAAATTGGTCTTGGCCTTGGCTGACCCAGCTAAACTGGCCTTGGCTGACCCAGCTAAACTGGCCTTGGCTGACCCAGCTAATTTGGCCTTGGCTGACAGGCTGACCTAGCCTAAATCGGCATTGGCTGATAAGTCTGAGTCAGAAAATTTTCAGCGCAGTGCACGAGCTCCGTAGCACCAGCTAGGATCCTGAAACATTTTCGGTAAATTTGTAACTAAAAATGTTTTCCCGGGCAGGGCCGTTAACTACTCTTTTCGATTTCCAACTACCAAATAATTTTTTTTACGTGTGCAACAATACACACGCGCGTCTGATCTCACTACCCAGAGACCAGAGGGATATTATTAGAAGTCTACGTGAAAAAATCCCAGCCTTGGCCGGTGCCTGAACCCGGGACCTCTAGCACTCGAGGCGGACACCATGCCTGGAGAAGTGAAGGCGACCAGCATGATGATGACCACTTTCTACATCATGTCGACTGGTCTATAAATAACACACTGGCCAGTGGCGTGTAAAAGGTTTCTTTCTTACATTATCTATCTCCAGTATGAGTGAGGAAGAAATACAGAGTACATGTGTAGGTAAAGTAAAGGTCTCTTTTCCACTCCTTTAGGCGTATAGGGCATACAGGGCTAGACCTTTTAAAAAAAAAACCGATGGGCACAAGATGGGTGATGTGGTCAGCATCATGTCGGGTCGGTCGCCTTTACTTCCAGGGACTGCACCTGGTACCCACTGATAACTGGGTCGACCTGGGAATCAAGGTCATTTTTGAAAAAAGTCCAGCTCCGCCAGGGAACGAACCCACGACCTCCCGATCTGCACGCGAGCTTCTAGCCGCTACGCCACGACGACTCCCAGTGTACATGTGGGAATGTCCAAAATTATCAAACCTGTATATGGATGAAAACGTGACGGTTGCCTGTGAGGACATCGTCGCGTGTTAACTGATTCATTCATTAATTTAATCGTTCACTAGTTCATTAGTTAATTAGTAATATGTCCTTAACGTGCCTTCACTATGCAACTTTACGTACGAGGCGAACGAAAGAAGAAGAAGAAGTCGTACAGTAGTTTTCTATTACGATTAAAAAGTCAGCTCTCAATACCACTTTCAAAGCTAACAAAAGGCTGTCTTCTACCAAATCGTCCGCGATTGGAATCGAACCCGGCACCTAGGAGTAATGAAGCGCGTTTGCCTTGCCAAAGCCACAGACGCTGACATTCTTCTTCTTCTTCTTCTTCCTTTCTTTCTTTCTCTACTGCTTGAATGCCTGGCATAGTCAGGACAGGAAGAGATCTCTAGAACTCCAGTAGGTCTGCAGTCCTTATTCTGCGTGGCCGAGCTCTGGTTCTCTTACTGCTGTATCCGTATACCGTATAACATTAAAACATTGCTCTCTGTGGTGCACAGTCTAATGCCAACTTTGATACACGGCCAAACCATATGATTTTTCTACTCTGAAATATTGTCTTGTAAATATGGTTTCTTTTGTTCTCTATCAGTCGGTCTGGTTGTGACTTTTTATTGTTACACAGTTCCCTCATTTTGACAATGTTTACATTGAGAATGAGAATGTTAAGCTGTTGAAGATGTAGGGAAACATGATCGTCTTCGCCAGTCGGCAGATAATCATAAGATAAGACCTATATGATAAGCTATGGTTGTTTGTCACCTCATTTGGGTATTTTCTTTCTCACAGTAGAGTGAAAGTTTTTTCTAGACTTGTTCATGCTTGTTTGAATATTGCAGCCACAGGACACAGTACAACTGATTGTAACCGAACATGGTCTCCTCTCATACAGTGTTACTATTGTTTGCATCCTTCTTCTTGTAATCGATGCCGTGTGGCGTCGGTAGGGATATTAACCACAACCTTCTGTCTTGTTTGCTTTCAATCAGTTCTGACACGGATGATCATCCATGTCACGATGAATCATATGGGCTCTTCTTGCAATAACGGACGAGGGCTGGACGACCTAATTCAGTTTAGTAAGAGTTCTCTCCCTTGGCCGCACTGGAAACAGTGAGCGGAAAAGTCACGAAACAAAGAAGACAGTGAGGTCGATATCAGGGCTGCCAATGCTTGGTTGTGTCCCCCAGATCTGTTTTTTTTTTATTGACCTTGAGGGAAAATCTGGGGGAAAGGGGTGGGGGTTTGGTTTTTGCTGATCTGTATGCTTTAATGACCGATAATTTCGCGTGGTTAGGGGTAGGGTTAGGGTTAGCGGTAGGATTACGGTTAGGGGTAGGGTTAGGGGTAACATTAGGGTTATGGTTAGGGTTAGCGGTAGGATTACAGTTAGGGTTAGGGGTAACGTTAGGGTTATGGTTAGGGGTAGGGTTAGGGGTAGGGTTGGGGTTAGGTTTAGCGTTAGATGTGACAATTTTGACGCAGGAGTTCGCTATAATCGCGCACAGTCACATACACACCCAAACAGTCGACGGACTGTGGGTGCTACGGACAATTCGCCACCGATTGGGCACCAGCCGCGCGCTATTGCCGTCATATTTGGCAGAGTTTCAGTGGCGCCACTCCCAGAAACATCAGATTGTCGGCCAGTATTTGGAACTCCTACCTCAAAATTTTCACACCTAACCCTACCCCTAACCCTACCCCTAACCCTACCCCTACCCCTAACCCCTAACCCCTAACCCTAACCCTACCCCTAACCCGAACCCCTAACCCGAACCCCTAACCATAACCCTAACCCCTAACCCTAACCCTACCCCTAACTCTAACCCCTATCCCTACCCCTAACCCTAACCCTAACCCAAACCCTACGCAGCCCTACACGCAACTGTATGATGACTATGCAACGCAAACCTTCGCGCAACCATATGATGACTACGCAACCGTACACGCAACCGTATGATGATAGGTAAGTATGTCATTTGTTTTGTGACTTATCCGCTCACTGATTCGAGTGCGGCCAAGGGAGAGAACTCTTACTAAACTGAACTAAGTCGTCCAGCCCTCGTCCGTTATTGCAAGAAGAGCCATCATATCAGACTATCCAGCATCTTCTCTTTAGGTGGTCTTCCTCTGCCTCTTTTCCCCTCCAACTTTCCCACCTTCACTATGTACTCAGTTTTCTCCTTTTCATGACGTAGCTAATAATGTAGATTGTTTTCTATGGATGTGGGCAGTCAGTTCTCTTTGTGAGTCAGTTTCTTTCAAGAATCACCATTTATAGGCCCCAAATAACACTTAGAGGACAGGTAATTTATTTACGCTATCCTCTGAAAAACGGTCCCAAATTATCTAGGCCGAAAATAGATCCTAACAGGGCCTCAGTCGCATGTAAATTGCGGACCTCTTTCCGGTGACTATACCAACACCACCGAGAGTATCTCCCGCACTGCTACGCGCAGCGCGGAGTGGAGCTAAATTAGATGGCTGGGACTCACAAGCAAATAAAATGGAGGAAGCTGCAGGAGATGCGGTAGCTGCTGCTCGTGAGTCCCAGCCATCTAGTTTAGCCCTGCTCCACGCCGCACGAAGCTGCTCGGGGGTAACTCTCGGCAGTGACTTTAACTTGGCGGAAACTTTTCCTAGGTATGCTGTGTAGTCGCCGGAAAGAGATCTGCAATTTACATGTGACTGAGGCCCTTTTAGGGTATATTTTTAGCCTCGATAATTTGGGAACCGTTATTCGGAGGATAGCCCTTGTTTATGCACATTGTTTTTAGTTTCTGTTTGTCTTTTTCAGAGACTATGGCAAGTCATGAAAAATTCCTAATTGAGAAGCCAACAAAGATAGACTACAAAATTCTCAGACACATATTATTTTATGATGACATCCAGGACTTAACCAAGCTAAAAACAACATTAGAATCTAATGAATGGATTATGTACCATGTATATGCCCAAGGCTTTTCTAGATATTCTACAACAGCTGTATGAGTTACACATAATTGACATCAATAAAGCATACTCAGGGGTAAGACATTTCTATTTCATGTAGAAGTTATTTATAAATTTGTATAAATGAATACAATTTACTTTTAAGCTGGCTAGGCACTCGCCTGATCGCCCAAAGGACTTGGATTCAAATTTGCATCAAGACTAGTCGTTTTTCTAAACTGACCTTGGTTTACAGGTCTAAACTGGGTACCATGCAATGTCCTGGAAAGTAAAGGCAGCTTGTATGGTGGTGACCCATCACTCACAAAGTGCAGTTTGGTCTACAAAATATGAGTTAAGCATCACATGCCTGTTGTGCCACTGTGTAGGAAAAAAATTAAAAAAATTAACTACTTTTTAAAAAACTTATATTTATGCCACAGGAGTGACAAGAAGAGGTAAAATCCAGAAATGTAAGTCATATTGAGAAAAAGCTAGTGCATTGTCACTGGTTGTTAGTGCATTGTCACTAGTTGTTAGTGCATGGCCACTGGTTGTTAGTGCATGGCCACTGGTTGTTAGTGCATGGCCACTGGTTGTTAGTGAATGATCACTAGTTGTTAGTTCATTGTCACTGGTTGTTAGTGCATTGTCACTGGTTGTTAGTGCATTGTCACTGGTTGTTAGTGCATGGTCAATGGTTGTTAGTGCATTGTCAATGGTTGTTAGTGAATGACCACTGGGGGTTAGTGAATGATCACTAGTTGTTAGTTCATTGTCACTGGTTGTTAGTGCATTGTCACTGGTTGTTAGTGCATTGTCACTGGTTGTTAGTGCATGGCCACTGGTTGTTAGTGCATGGTCAATGGTTGTTAGTGCATTGTCACTGGTTGTTAGCGCATGGCCACTGGTTGTCAGTACATGGTCAATGGTTGTTAGTGCATGGTCAATGGTTGTTAGTGCATTGTCACTGGTTGTTAGTGCATTGTCACTGGTTGTTAGTGCATTGTCACTGGTTGTTAGTGCATGGTCAATGGTTGTTAGTGCATTGTCAATGGTTGTTAGTGCATGGCCACTGGTTGTTAGTGCATGGCCACTGGTTGTTAGTGCATGGTGAATGGTTGTTAGTGCATGGTAAATGGTTGTTAGTGCATTGGCAATGGTTGTTAGTGCATGGCCACTGGTTGTTAGTGCATTGTCACTGGTTGTTAGTGCATGGCCACTGGTTGTTAGTGCATGATGACTGGTTTTTAGTGCATGGCCACTGGTTTTTAGTGCATGTCCACTGGTTGTTAGTGCATGGCCACTAATTGTTAGTGCATTGCCACTAGTTATTAGTGCATTGTCACTAGTTGTTAGTGCATTGTCACTGGTTGTTACACATGGCCACTGGTTGTTAGTGCATGGCCACTGGTTGTTAGTGCATGGCCACTGGTTGTTAGTGCATTGTCACTGGTTGTTAGTGCATTGTCACTGGTTGTTAGTGCATGGCCACTGGTTGTTAGTGCATGGCCACTGGTTGTTAGTGCATGGCCACTGGTTTTACTGTGTTTATGTGCGTGCATGCGCACTTATGTGTGTATGTATATATGTATATGTATATGTGTGTGTGTGTATATGCATATATATGTATATATATATATATATATATATATATATATATATATATATATATATATATATATATATATATATATATATATATATATATATATATATATATAATAAAACCTCATTAACACAAACTTGATTAAGAAGTACACTCAGTTTAACTTGAACAAAATTTTGGTTCCAGCAGGGATGTAATAATTTGAGTCCCTGGTTAGCATGCATTTTTTTAACATGAACTCTTGACTTTTTGATCCCTTGGAATTCATGTTAATGAGGGGTTTTACTGTTTACATGAAAACTAAATTTGGAATCAGAATGGTTGGTGACGTAAAACGATAAAGAACAATCTAATGGAACTACAAAGTAAGGATAGGCTATCCAGAAAAGAAGGAACGTTCAAAAATGGCTTTAATCAAAATCCCAGCAAGATCACGTTCATTACAGATTTGCAAAAAGAGAAGCAAAACAAAATTAAAGCATTCTATGAGGAATCCAAATTACGGAGAACAAATAGCTACCCTCAGCAAGGAATTTCCTAGAGACTTCTATAAACATGTAAAAATCATGAGAGAAAGACATAAGCTACAACCCAACAACTATCATCAATAACAAGAGACATAACTATATTTAGTCCAAACCAGAGGTTGGCAAGGTGGACGGAATATTTTTAAGAACTCTTCAACAGGTAACGTAGATGAGTTTAACTTTGTACATCACTTAACCTCCGTAACCTGGATCTACACACCGGGTCATGCGGGCGTTAAGGGAAATGAGCGAGCGGACCAACTGGCAAGCACTGCACTAATGATTGCGGGAAAAAGCCTGGACAAAGCAGACATCGTCAATGCTGTACGAACTGGGCTAGTGGAGAATGAGGAATCTCTGACACTAACACGATTGCGTGACATGGAAGTTGAGCATGGTGATGCACGTCTTTGCCGTCTTCAAGGCCGAGAAAGGAGACAATATAACCAGCTTCTCATGGGGACAATTAGTAGAAGTACTTTGGAGTGGCTGCTGCTTCGGAGAACTGAGGACGCATGGGTATGCCCAATGTGCAGTGACATCAGTTGTGATAACAAAACATAAAATAACATCTTGTAGGGAGTCGGCAGTCCGAAACGAAACCCAAGTTCAAGGTGTCTCCTTTGTGCCAAAGAACTGCAGGGCTGTTGGGTGAACAGTCGTTAACGAAGGCAGGCAGGTCATTGTAGGGGCGACGCCTGCTGGTGGATATAATGTCCTAAGTCCCTTCCCCAGCTAATAATGAGGGTACTGCTAGGGTGACCGTTTATTAACCCTCATATAATGCTTCAGGTCAAAATGGACGCTAGGCACGGCCACCTATTGTTTTTTTTATTAATTTTTTTCTCTTTAGCCGTGGCAAATTTTTTTTTCTGCCAGACGGTGGCCGTTGCATTTTTGCTCCATTTGTAGACTGGACGGATATAGTTTCGTCGCCCAGCTTCTGAGTTGAGTGCATGGCGTGATACTGTGAGCTACGTCTGTTTTTCGTTGGCACAGGAGCGGAGCAACTATGGGGTGACCCATTTGCTATGAAGATGAAACTAGGATTACCAGATTACCAGATTACATCAAAGCTGTGAACAAGAGTAACCAAATTTCGTAACAGCAGAAGTAAGAGCAGCTATACAGAAGAACCCAAGAAACAAAGCATCAGGTCTGGATGGAATTAATACAGAAGTAATCCAAGCAAGCACAGAAGTTGGTATTAAATGGCTAACACAAATTTTTAATATAGATTGGGAAGAAAGAAAAGTCCCAGTGAGTGTCAACAAGCTCTAATAGTACCGCTATGGAAGAAGAAAGGTAATAGGAGAGTATATGAAGCATACAGAGGTATATCACTGCTGAGTCACGTAGGGAAAATGTATGCTAGAACAAAAAAGTTAGACCCATAACTGAACAGCAGTTGAGTGTATCAAAATTTGGTTTCAGAAAAGGCAGAGGATGCACAGATGTGTTATTCACACTGAGGCAAGTGTGCGAGAAAATGCTGACTACAACAACCAACATAATATTGTGTGTGTAGATCAGGAAAGGAATTAGAAAGAAATAAACTATGGTCTGTTTTTGAGAACTATGGGATACAAGGACAACTGCTAGAGAACATCATAGCAATATACCACACAAGCCAAAGTGAAGTAAGAACCCAAGAAGGCATATCTGATATGTTCACAGTCAGTACAGGTGGGAGACAGGGAACTGTGCTCTTCCCCATTTTTATTTAGCATTTATAAAGACAGAATATCAAAAGAAACATGTTTTAATACTGATGACGTAGATCATTATAGTCATGAGGAAATGCACACATCAGATGAAGTAATCCACCCACCCGCATTAAACAAATTACTATTTGCTGACGACCAGTTCTTCTTCTACACTGAAGAAGGTAGGCTGCAAGAACACATTAACAGGTTAAGCTCAGCATGCAGTAAAAAGAACATGAAGATCAATGCAAACAAAACCAAAACAATGGAAGCTAGTAGGCCCATTACACATACAGCTGAATGGTTCTGAACCTGAAACACGTTGGGGAATTTACATGTGTATGAAGTGTGGTCACAGAAGATGACAGAATGGACCCAAAAAAAGAAAGCAGATGTCAGAAAGCAAGTGCACTTATATACCAATTGTCAGAATTATCAAGGCATCCAAACATAACTATGAGTGCAAAGATACAAATTATAAACATTGAGCTATCAGTGCCATAGACACTGCCTAAAGCTCATGTGTGCAAAATCACAATCTGCAAGATTGAGATTCTGAGGAAAAACTGCCAGCCTAACCATTCAAGGTTGAGTGAATAATAATACTATCAGACAGATTGTGGGAAAGACACCTTATACTAGATTCATCGAGAAACAGATCAAGTGGTTTCAGCCATCTCATTAGAATGCAGCAACATCAAATCCCATCACAAGCACTACATCTCAGAAGATCAGCTACAAGAGCAAGGGGAAAAATATGGATCAGCAACATTAAAGACACTTTGCGCTTTCACGACATGACAATAGCATGCACTAGATCGCAAATTATTCCTTCCCATGACACTTAATGGCAGACATGGTTTATGATGATGATGAACAAATTCTTACAGCAGTTTAATTAATTATTTCATATATGCTAACATTCTTCATGTTTAAACTTTCTTAGAAAACTGGCCTGCAAATAGCTTGTGAGAATGGATATGTAGATATTGTGAAGTGGCTTCTAGAGCATGGAGCGGAAATGAAAAACGCTTATGATGAGAACTCTGAATTTTATCTGGCAACCTTAAATGGAAACCAAGATGTTCTTGCTGTTTTGTTGAAGCAAAAAGCAGGTAAGTGTTAGATGTCTTCTCATAGATACACCACCACATATTTGCACGACCACATTAGGATGTATGAAGCCCCTGTGCAGTCTCCTTATGCTTCTTTTTTCCTTCAGCTAAAAATCAGGATCACTATTTGTTTACAGACCACTAGTAACAAGTTGTAGAATAAAAAGGTAAAAGGTAAAGTCGGGAGATGTGGACCCACGTCATTACACACAGTTATAAACCATAAGTGCTCTGCCACCAGTTGGGGCATGTTGAGAGAATATCAAATGACAGAGATGTGAAAACTGTATACATAAGGGAGATGAATGGTCGTAGTCCACAAGAAGACAATGGAGAGATAATGTCCAGACAGACCTGCAAACACTTGGTGTCACCAGCTTGAAAGAGAAGATGAACCAGAGAGATGAGTGGAGACGGGCGATATCTGCAGCAATGAACCTCAAGGGCTCAGAATGCTGAAGAAGAAGAAGAAAAAGTTAAAAAAAAAAAAAAAACTGTAGCTGCCCTGTGCACATGTTGCACGTAGTATAAACTCGGCCCTGTATATTTGTGTCTGCTGTGTTGTAGAAAGGATTACAAGAACCAAATAAAAACTTCTGTCAGCATTTCTATTTTTTAGAATGTTACTAATTTCTCATGGGAGTTGCCATGGCGTAGCGGCTAGACATTCGCCTGGGGATCGGAAGGTTGTGGGTTCGCTCCCTGGCGGAGCCGGACTTTTAAAAAAAAATGTCCTTCGCTCCCTGGTTGACCCAGCTTTGAGTGGGTACCAGGTGCAATCCAGGGATGTAAAGGCGGCCGGCATGATGCTGACCACATCACCCATCTTGTACTTTTGGTATGTTTAAAATATAGATCTAGCCCTATATACCCAATACACCTGAAAGGTGTGGAAAAGGGTCCTTTACTCATTACTGCCGACTTTCAACAAAGAGATGCCACCTGGTTATGATGGAAGTCTTTTTAAGTCTTGTTAGTATAAAATTGCTTTTTAACTCATTAGCTATAATGACAGCAACTAAAACAATAACTAACAAACCACATACATTTGTTGAAGCTGATTTGGTGTAGCGGCTAGATACTTGCCTGTGGATCCAGTGGTTGTGTGTTCAAATCTGAATGGGGCCAGACTTTTCTTTCCAAAAGTGACACTGGCTTCATAGTTGAACTAGTCTCAAATGGGTACCAGGTAAAGTCCTGGGAAGTAAAAGGCAGCTGGCGGGATGTTGATCACATCTCACACATCTGGCGGGGTGTTGATCACATCTCACACAGCTGGCGGGATGTTGATCACATCTCACACAGCTGGCGGGGTGTTGATCACATCTCACACAGCTGGCGGGGTGTTGATCACATCTCACACAGCTGGTGGGATGTTGATCAAATTTCACACCGCTGGCGGGGTGTTGATCACATCTCACACAGCTGGTGGGGTGTTGATCACATCTCACGCAGCTGGTGGGGTGTTGATCACATCTCACACAGCTGGTGGGGTGTTGATCACATCTCACACAGCTGGCGGGGTGTTGATCACATCTCACACAGCTGGTGGGGTGTTGATCACATCTCACACAGCTGGTGGGGTGTTGATCACATCTCACGCAGCTGGTGGGATGTTGATCACATCTCCCAGAGTGCGGATTGGTCTTTACAATACAGGTCTAGCACTTAAGACCAAATATGCATGAAGACGTGAAACAGTGTTCTTTACTTTCTACATACATTATAAACTGTTGTTGTTTGTACAGAATAGAGGACATTCAACGATAAAACAGAATCATTGATGTGGAGCTTTGAGAGACAACTAAGCAAATTCCTGTGAAGCAAAGATGCTGGTGTTGGACAGAAGATATATTGAGAAAACCTGGGGGGGGGGGGGGGGGAATATAACCGTTAAGTGCCACAGGGACAAAGAAATCTAGGCAGACCCCGCAAATGAAAATGCTTGGAGAGAGGAACTTCAGAGGGAAGTTAAGAAAATGAGGAAGACAGTCAGCTGCATGCCATAGCATTGGGTAGGACAACTAAGCATGAGCTAGTTGTGGGCTTATGCTCTGTTGGGGGGGGGGGGGGAATCTTTCTTCTCTTCTTCTTCTTTGCGTTCACCAGCTGTAAACTCTGGTGGAAAGTTCTGGTTGTTTGTCCACTTGTGGACTGCAGTCCTGTTCCAGAACTAGAGTGTTGCATGTACATCCATTTGACAGATCTGAGACATTTGTGTGCAGACTGTTGGTTCCTTGCCTCTCAGGCAAATGCACTCTGACTTCGAAGGAAGCTTCCAATTAGTCGACTCTTAACGACATGCTTTTGGGTAGGCAGTGAGGCTGTTCTTATTTTCCCTATAATAGAACCCCGGGACCCACACAGGGGTATTGGGGGGAGGGGAAGAGGAGAAGAAGAACTGTAATGACAGAATTTGTTCAATTGAAAAGATAATTAAATGATGCGTGCGGAAACTTGAGATAACTAATGATGTAAAAACAGCATTACTAAGGTAAGATGCATCTTGATTTGTGATCCACATATATTGAAAAAAAAAAAATTGTAACAGAAATTTGAAAACAACTGAAACACATTCATATGTTCTGGATATCATAAGTATCCACTGGATATTCTGGAAGCAAAAGAAGAAGAAGAAGAAGAAGAAGAAGAAGAAGAAGAAGAAGAAGAAGAAAGAAAGAAAGAGGAAAAAGAATTGGAAGAATTAAAAATGAAAAAGACGAATATACTGTATTCGTCTTTTTCATTTTTAATTCTTCACAATTCTTTTTCTCTTTCTTCTTCTTCTTCTTATATATATATATATATATATATATCTATATATTATATATATATATATATATATATATATATATATATATATAATATATATATAAATTATATATTTTGTTCTTGTTTATTTAAGGAATGGTAGCAGATAAAGATATCCAGTACTGTCTGTTATATGCTGCTTGCAAGGGAGGTCACTTAGAATTAGTAAAAAGGTGGTTTTCACCAGACATGGATGTGACAGAGAAAACATTTTACATCTCTGATCTGTCAAAATGTGAGCAGATGTATCCATTGTTTGCTGCATGTGAAGGTTGGTCACAACTTCTTCAGTTCAGTCTTTCTGTACCAGGCAACTCGCTGTAGGTTAATCCATTACTCTGTGCACAGTTTATATTTTATAATTTCTTTCTAATACTCTATTTACATAATTCGGCTCTGCTTGGAATAACGGTTCTAAATGAACTACGCAGAAGGTTAACCCAAACAGAGCCTCACAACGCAGACAGTAAACCCAAACAGAGCCTCACACATATGTAAAAGTCGCATTTCTTTTGCGGCGATTCAACCGTGTCAAAAGTAGTATTAACTGCGGAACGCAACTGATTTTTTACGGCGAATAGATGGCGGCAAAACAAGGATTAACTGCATACAAAAAAATTACCGACACGCGACAATTCTCCTGATAGCGCTATCCTACGGCAGGGGCCCGAGTTATATGTAAGTTGCCGATCGCTTTTCTCCGACTATAGAGAGTACCCCCCGCGCCGCTACGCACAGCACGAAGGGGGCTAAACTAGATGGCTGGGACTCACGAGCAGCAGCTACCGCAGCTCCTGCAGCTTCCTCGTGAGTCCTAGCCATCTAGTTTAATTCCTTCCGCGCCGCAGGTAGCGGCGCGGGGAATACTTTCAGAGGTGGCACTATAGTCGGCGAAAGAAGAAGTTCACATTTTGCACCTTACTGACCCAAGGTCAGCGTACGTTTCCAGCCTCGACATTTTGAAAGCGTCATTCGGACGGTAGCCAAAGATAGTATTGAGATGCCTAGCGAGAAAGAACAGATATTCGGGCACTATTTGCAACTTCTCTGCCACAAGTTTAACGTATAAAGGATTTCAATATCGGTAAGTACTATAATTCCCTTATTTTCCTCATACTTTCCGTTCCTTATATTTCCCCAGTTACAGCTTTTAAATGTCTGTAGGGCAGGACGTAATGAGGCTCTGTTTGGGATTAACTTTCTGCGTAGTTCATTTAGAACCGTTATTCCAAGTAGAGCCCATAATTCTATTATATTCTAATTCTGAGTTTCATTTCTTTATACCCCATACTTTTACTATTTTAACTCATTAAGACTTTCACTGCTTTACACATCCTTTACCTCAAATTTACTCCACTTCACTAGCTTTTCCCATCACATTGTATCACTTTACATGACTTTACATGTATTTTATATCACACTTTCTCTACTTTACATAATTTTTTCTACATCAAACTTTCTCTATTTTATCAAACTTTCTCTACTTTGTAAATCCTTTGTATCACACTTTCTCTACTTAACATCACACTTTCTCACTCTACATGTCCTTTACATCACACTTTCTCACTTGACATGCCCTTTACATCACACTTTCTCACTCTACATGCTCTTTATATCACACTTTCTCTACTTTACATCACACTTTCTCACTCTACATGCCCTTTATATCACAGTTTCTCACTTGACATGCCCTTTACATCACACTTTCTCACTCTACATTCCCTTTATATCACAGTTTCTCACTTTACATGCCCTTTACATCACACTTTCTCACTTTACATGCTCTTTACATCACACTTTCTCACTCTACATTCCCTTTACATCACAGTTTCTCTACATACCCTTTACATCACACTTTCTCACTTTACATGCCCTTTACATGACACTTTCTCACTCTACATGCCCTTTACATCACACTTTCTCAATTTACATGCCCTTTACATCACACTTTCTCAATTTACATGCCCTTTACATCACACTTTCTCACTCTACATTCCCTTTATATCACACTTTCTCACTTTACATGCTCTTTACATGACACTTTCTCACTCTACATCCCCTTTACATCACACTTTCTCACTCTAAATGCCCTTTACATCACACTTTCTCACTCTACACACCCTTTACATCACTCTATCTTACTTTACATGCCCTTCACATCACAGTTTCTCACTCCACGTGCCCTTTACTTCACATTTTCTCACTTTACATGCCCCTTACATCACATTTTCTCACTTTACATGCCCTTTACATCACATTTTCTCACTCTACATGCCCTTTACATCACACTTTCTCACTGTACATGCCCTTTACATCAGATTTTCTCACTTTACATGCCCTTTACATCACATTTTCTCACTTTACATGCCATTTACATCACAGTTTCTCACTTTACGTGCCATTTACATCACATTTTCTCACTTTACATGCCATTTACATCATACTTTCTCACTCTACATGCCCTTTAAATCACAGTTTCTCACTTTACATGCCTTTTACATCACATTTTCTCACTTTACGTGTCATTTACATCACAGTTTCTTGCTTTACATGCCATTTATATCGCAGTTTCACTACTTTACATCATACTTTCTCACTCTGCATGCCCTTTACATCACACTTTCTCACTTTACACACCCTTTACATCACACTTTCTCACTTTACACACCTTTTACATCACAGTTTCTCTACTTTACATCATACTTTCTCATTCTGCATGTCCTTTACATTACACATTTGTACACACTTTGTTAATATATTCTATAAAGTGAATAGAAATGTGAAACCATAGTAGTTCACTAGCTGGATGCATGCTACCAGTTCAAAGATCCGGGTTCAGATCGAAATTGGGGTTGATTTTTATAATTTGTCTGTGCTGCCAGACAATCGAGCCTAAAATAAGTACCAGAGAATGTCCTGGGAAGTAAAGAAGCCAGTGTGATGTTAACCAAATCACCAATGAAGTGCTGGTAGGTTTATAGAAGAAAAGATTTGGGTCTAGCACTTTATTCCCGATGCCCTGGTGACATCAAAGTTATTTAAAAAACATTAAAGTTATTGAAAAGACATTAAAGTTATTGAAAAAACATTAAAGTTATTGACAAAACATTAAAGTTATTGAAAAAACATTAAAAGTTATTGAAAAAACATTAAAGTTATCGACAAAACAATAAAGTTATTGTAAAAACATTAAAATGATTAAAGTTATTGAAAAAACATTAAAGTTATTAAAAAAACAATAAAGTTATTGAAAATAACAGACTGACATCTTTCAGCCATCTACTGGGAATGAATCCAGCGATACTGGCAGCCAAAGCACAGAGCATGAAAACGGAAACAGTGAGAGGCAGAGGGGGGACCTAGACAAAGATTGATCATTGTTCATTTTAGAGATCATTTTCATCACAAATGGGACATGACCATAAGTGCTCTGATCTCTTGAGTATGTCTCCAGGTGTTTTTAGGCTTACAACTCCCATTCTGTTCTGGCTGATGTAATGACGGGCGGCTCCCACATAGTTTTCTTGTTGGTACACCCAGGGTATGCAGTCTATTCAGAGAATAATCACTTTCCACGAAACTGATAACCTGACATTTTGTCTGTCATATGGCACTGATGACGTCTCTCCTGTCCATCGAGAGCTCATTCCTGACAGTCGCTCTGCCCTCCAGAGCGACTGCTCTCTCATTGCTAGAAAAATATGTGTAGATAGAGTCACTGACAACTTAAGACTTCACAACATCATACCAATCAACTGAGCTCACCTGGCTTGGCTACCAATCATCTGTTAAACTTGGATGTCTGGTGGCACAAAGCAAGTATTGATCACAACAAAAGAAAAAGAAGACAACTTTCAAAAATGGTTTTTGCAAAGTATAAGTGGCCACTGGGTAAGATATATTTTTTTTGGTATGTTCAGTATATTTTTAGTATACTATTTTTAGTTTTAAAAAAAAAGGAAAAGTGAACTTTACAGTGTGATAGTAGTAATTTTAAGCGAAGTGCTAAATTACACATCACATTTTGCTTGGGACTGAAATGGTTCAATTATTATTTGAATTTATTTAACAGGAAATCACTTTGAAGTTGCCACATTCTTAATACAAGAAGGTGAAGCTGCCATTACCAGAGATATTTGTTATTACTTCCCAGAATTCAGTGCTAGACTCGTCAGATCTTTATTTTTAAAGTCTGATACAAATGGTCAGCAGTTTGTGAGTATGAAGTCATCTTTAAAAAAAATCTGTATATTTATATACATCATCATCATGTGCCCTGCCAACCAGCATAGGCGCTCATGCGTCTCCACAGATCATATTCCCTGATTGCCTGGAACAGCACTCTTGATTATATCCCCCCGATGCCATCGTTTCAGCCCATCCAGCATCATCTCTCTTTGTCTGCCTCTACCCTTCTTTACACTGATCTTTCCAGTTGTCACGATGTTCTCCAATATCTCTTTTCTCATTATGTGGCCAAAGAATAGTGTTTGTCTCTTTCTTATTGTTGTATATAGAGATCTACTTTCATTAGCCTCTTTCAAGCAATCGTTGTTAGTTACTCTGTCCGTCCAAGGTATTCGTAACATTCGTCTCAGAAACCACATCTCTTTTGCTTCCCAATTCTTCTTAATTTGTTCAGGGACATTTCAAGATTCGCTGCCATAGAGCATATTACAGGTAGTTATATTGCTAACTGAAATAAAAATGAACAAATAAGATGGGCGGAGATCAGAGTGACTTGATGCTTGCCTTCTAGCTTAAAGGTCTTAGGTTTGAATCCGCATCTAGGCAGATTTCTTTCAGAATTTACCTTGAGGCCAAACCAGCCTAAGTTGTCCTAGGAAGTAGAGGTGGATGACTTGATGTTGACTGCATCATCCAGAGGGTACTGGTTGATGTACACAAATACGAGTGTAGCATGATATGCTCGATATACCCCGAGAGTAAAAAGTGTCCTTCACTAATTTTACTGTAAAATAGTTGAAACTGTTTGTGGTTACAAGGAGTTTTAAACTCTTTCGCTTTGTGTGATGCTGTGAGAATTAAAACTATCGTCTTATGTGCGTATTACAACAATACAAGGGGCTGGACACAATACAAGGGGCTGGACACAATACAAGGGGCTGGACACAATACAAGGGGCTGGACACATTACAAAGGGCTGGACACAATACAAGAGGCTGGACACAATACAGGGGGCTGGACACAGTACAAGGGGCTGGACACAATTCAGGGGGCTGGACACAATTCAGGGGGCTGGACACAATACAAGGGGCTGGACACAATACAAGGGGCTGGACACAATACAAGGGGCTGGACACAATACAAGGGGCTGGACACAAGGGCTGAACACAAGGGCTGGACACAATACAAGGGGCTGGACAGAATACAAAGGGCTGGACACAATACAAGGGGCTGGACACAATACAAGGGGCTGGACACAATAAAAGGGGCTGGACACAATACAAGGGGCTGGACACAAGGGCTGGACGCAAGGGCTGGACACAATACAAGGGGCTGTACAGAATACAAAGGGCTGGACACAATACAAAGGACTGGACACAATACAAAGGGCTGGACACAATACAAGGGGCTGGACAGAATACAAGGGGCTGGACAGAATACAAGGTGCTGGTCACAATACAAGGGGCTGGAGAGAATACAAGGGGCTGGACACAATACAAAGGGCTGGACACAAGGGGCTGGACAGAAAAAACATGCGGATGAACTGCAGTCTGAGAGTGTGTAAACCAAGACAAAAGAAGATAGCCCGAAAAAAAAAGGGCGGGGGGGGGGGGATGGGGGGGGGGGTAGTTGGGGGGGGGGGTGGGGGGGGGGATTTCAGAAGAAAAAAATGGGCCCAGAAAAATGAGCCATCAACACACACTTCTATATTTACTATTCACTTTGCTACATTTTATTTTACAGACTGTAGCTTGCGATGATTTCAATGTAGCTTAGTGGGGGGGGGTATAGTACTATCTCTTTGGGGGGGAAGAAGGATAGCTAATGGTATACACCATAAATCTGATTTAATTGTAATTAAATCCTGTAATTAAATACTGTTTTTCAACCACATTGTTAATGAGCTTAAGAGAAGATACAGGATTATGTACAATTTTAGCTCAACTGTTAATAGAATAATTTAATTACAGTAACATATTATCATTTGAGTTACTTCAAGAACTGAACAGGTAAAGTAAATTTACCATGCCATTAGTTTGAACATATGGTGCAATCTATAGTGACACTTATAATTAAAGAATGTGTTCTAAAGACATTGTTAATGAGCTAAAAAGAAGATACAGGATTATGCCGAAAAATGTAGTTCAGCTGAGAATAGAAAAAGTTAATGACAGTTACAAATCATCATTTCAGTTCCTTTAAGAACTGAACAGGCAAGGCAACCTACCCTGCCATTAGTTTGAACATATGGTGCCATCTGTACTGCCACTTAAAGTCACTAACTGGGCAGAAAAGGCCAATCATAGAGATGAATGGAGGTTGTTGACATTTGCAGCAATTAACCCGAAGAGCTCAGAATGCTGAAAAAGGAAAAGAATCAGCACATGGTCTGTGATGTTGCCATCTTTACCTTCCAGAACATTTCCTGATTCCCTTGCTTTTTTAAAGTCACCTGGAGAGACAAGATCAGTTATAAAAAAAATAAAGCCTAGATGCAGATTTGAACTTTCGGTTGGCAGCATGTGTTTAGTCATTGAGCAACTGCCAAAAAAGATTAATGATGTCATAATAAATTTAACATTTCACTTCAGCTAAAAACTGACAAAATTAATGACCATATTTGTATCACTTCAGTTCCACCTGTCAAAACGAAAGATTGAATACCTTCTGCCATGCTGGTTTTGCGAACCTGAAAAACAGAATGTGGATGCAGATATCTGTGAAGAAGCTAAAATTGAGGTGAACAAGGATGAAGACACATTTGACATTGTAATTGACGCACACGAAAACAGGCTGCAGGAGTTACCGGATGATGTTTTGTGGTCTTTAATAAATCTCATTTCATTAAATGCATCGCACAATCCACTGAAGTCAATTCCCAGTGCATTTAATCCTGGTTCACTGCATTTGAATGGGTATGTTATCTTTCACACAGTCCTATTTTTAATCATTTTAGGAGGCTACGTTAGTGCAGACGATAGGAGACTCGCTTTCAAATTAAGCTGCGACTCGCTGCAGCCCATGGCAGGTGTTTGAAATTCTGGTGGTTCCTGGGGTTCACCCAGTCTATAGGAAATGGGTACCAGAGTTAACTCTCTGAGGAAAATGGAGGAATGTCGCTGTAGCTAGGAAGTTGCGTGTGGATGGCGACACAAGCGGACAGTTTCTTATTAGCTGTCCGTATTGGTGGCAGAGCACTTATGGTTTATAACCATGTGCAATGACACTGGTTCACATCTCCCGCCTTTACCTTTTTTTACTTTCACCTATTTTTTTATAAGTTTTCATTTTTAACAAACTAGGGATAAAGATTAAAAAAGATGAGCATCTGAGAAGAAGCACTTTAAATACAATGGAACAATGGTCTTAAAATCTCATGTTTTAAATGTGAAAGACTTTTCTTTATACAAGCAGGTCTTGCTAGTCACACTCGTCATTGCCATGGGCTGGGATTCCCTGCCTTTCTGTACCACAATGTGTCACTGTTGTCTGGAAAGACAGAAAGGCCCTGTAAACAACAGTTTTTTAATCATTGATTTATTCTTCCTCTGTTTTTTTTACATATGATTGAATGTACTATTTACCAGCCATGGTGGAATAATGGTTAGACAGGGGTCTGGGTTCAATCCCCAGGATTATCAAAGGAAAATACAATGAATGGTGGAGAGAACAAACTAACAGTAAGCATCCACAAGACCCCATCAGCAGACTCAACAGAAAGCAGCATACAATAATTGTCCACCTTCGAACAGGACACTGCAGGTTCAGCTACCACATGCATAAAATAAAGATTGTAGTCCCCACAGTGTGCCTGTCAAACAGGACCACAAACACCTGAGCACATTCTGCAGATGTTCTGCCCCACTAATACCTCTCATCTTCAAAAAGACATGGGGGGTGGACAATCAAGAGCAAAGTGGTGCAAATAATAAAACAATCATGGCACTGGGGAACCATAAAGGACCTGCTACTGTTGTGCAAATTCATAGAAGCAACGCACCTGATGGTCTGATCTGTGCATATGAAACCAGACGCAAAGGAGAAGAAGAAGAAGAACATTTAGGCTGATAAAATACCATAACCAATAATTGTACAGATGTTCAACAAACTGATTAATTGACTGCTTACTTCCATCAGCAGTAAATTGCAATTATGGTGGTGATTGTTAACGTTGCCATCGGACCTGCTACTGACATACAGTATGGTTTTAATTTTTCAGCCAACCAAAATGGGGTAGGCTCTTGCAATAGAAGAATGATGATGCTGTGTGGAGAAAGTTGAAAGGAGTCTGGATCTAAACTCACCTTTTGTCACCTAAGGAAAATCCCCAGAATTGGCACCTGGAGTGTTAGAACTATGTAGAAGAAGGGAAGGGCCGTTGAATTAGTAAAAGAAATGGAACATTACAGAAATAAAAGCAGACCAAAACAGCATGGAGAAAGACTCTAAAGAGTAAAGTTAAACAAGTTTGGAAGGACAAGGGATTAGCTGCATGCAACAGCAGAACATAAGATGATAACCTGCGATGGTTGTGGGCCTATGCTCCATTTGAAGAGGAAGGGCAGAAGAGGAAAATGAAAACTGTTCTGGGGTTGACCCAGTCTCATAAAAATATGTATCGCGGACAATTCCTTGATGCCCAGAGAGAGGTAATTTGACACAATAATGCCTAAAATTCATTGGACAGCCCAAATGAGTAATCCAAATATTTTGAAAAAGTATAAGACCTGAAAACAACCTGTCACAAATTTAGAAAGAGGCCTTCATCATTCCATGGTCACTTTATAAGAAAAGAAAAACTGGAACGTGTGACAGCTGGGAAAATTCTGGAAAGAGGAATAGAAGTATACACTAGAAGCCTTTTGTCAAGGCATGGAGTGACGTGAGAACATGAATTTATAAATGCTGTTGTAGATGGCAAGATGTGGAGAAGAATGATTGCCTAAACCAGCCAGTCAGCAGTGCACTCAGTGATGCTGTGATTTATATATGGCACACATTATACATATATTATATAATATATGATATATACATATATATAGATATATATATATAGATATTATATATATCTATATATATATATTATATATATATATAATATATAATATATATGTTTACACACACCACACAACATATATAGTAGAATCAACTGTGGCACAGTGAATAATGCGTTCACTGATAAAGAATTGTTACTGCTAGGCACGTTAGAGTTTGTCACCTCATCTTATTAATCTGTGACCTAGTGTATTGCAAGGGCCTCAATAATTCTATCCTTACAGCAGTAGCTGTTACTAAGACTGCAACCTGAAGTGGCTTATTTCATCATAACAGAAGTCACCTGTTCTGAGTGTTTGAAACCTGCTGATATTGAACACTATTTACTATATTGCAAGAAATTAAAGATACAAATTTTGAATTAATACTGAACTTAAAATTTCTAATTCTTATGTCAAATCAGTACTTTTGTATGGAGCGGAAACATAGAGAACAACTAAGGCAATTATTAATAACTACAAACATTAATTAACTGGTGCCTGCAAAGAATAGAGGGAATGAAATGGTATGATAGAATCACTAATGTAGAGCTTTGGGAGAGAACTTAACAAGTTCCAGTGAACCAAGAGGTGAAGAATAGAGGGAATGAAATGGTATGATAGAATCACTAATGTAGAGCTTTGGGAGAGAACTAAACAAGTTCCAGTGGACCAAGTGTCCAAGAAGAGACGCTGATGCTGGATAGTTTTCTCACATTGAGAAAACCTGAGAACAATGTTATTAGAATGTCTTTGCACTGGAACCCACAGAAGCATAGAAGGCAGAAGAAGAAGAAGTATCAACTTCAAAGGACTCCTCTTAATGAATATATGACCTGCTGCAGTAAGATTATGACAATAGAAAAAATGCTTGGTATAGATAGCTCTAGAGACCTACAGGGATGGATTGAAAGTACATAAAAAAAATACACAGTTTTGCATGTGTGTTAATATATCTTAGGCTAGAATAATGGTATCTCATCTCACTTTACATATTCTCGAAGATAGATTACACAATATAATCATCACAATTATTTAAAAAGTACCCTTAAAAGATATTAAACTTAACAGACTATACTCCTACAGTCTGTTACAGTTAATACATAATCTATACAATATTAAATCACTAAAAGTAATTGGCTAGCATAAATATCCAATAAAGAAATATAGGGGAAAAGGTGTTGTTCCCGGTAACCGTGACGCCGACCTTTCATTCATAACTTCTTGGACTCTTTTGGGTCACAGGGGTGTGAGTGTATTCCGTCTGGGACATCTCACGGAATGGCACAATGAATGGTGCAGTAAACAGCGATACGCCGCAACATCGCATATCGTCAGCGTCCCCAAAATAATCTAGAATTAGATCACACCCCTACGCCCCCAGCAGTCCGCTGATTAATGAATGAAACAGCGCGCAGTGCGTAACCTAATTTAAACGTCATGGTTTTTGTGAACAGCACCAGGAAAAAAACTATAAATCTTGATCATAACCTAGATATGCTGAACAGAATATTGTTGTTTATAATGACCACTACTAGTAACTGTCTTTGGATTATCTTACCTTTGATTTTTTTTTCTTACCCAGATTAAAGATACTGAATTTTGAACATTGTCTTTTGGAATCTATTTCCTCTGACGTGTTCAGTCTCCCATGTCTTGAACAGGTGAACTTGTCTCATAACAGATTGCACACCTTGAGTGTGACAGGTTAGTTTCTTTTTATTAAAAATGATATTAATGTACACACACACACACACACAAAAAATGTTATGGACTCTTAATACGTCTCACCTTTGGACTGTGGCTTGTATTTCTACCTCTCGGTTACATTGACTGAACAGGTTCTAATCTTATACCCCGCGAATTCACATTTTTCCCCACGTGAGTACCTTCATGCAAGGCATGAAGACCATAATTCTTGTTCTTGTTCATTGAGAACCCCCAGGGTTTCCTTCCAGTTCCCGGCCATTGTTCTGCTTTTTCTAAGCGTTCACGGGCTGTATACTGCAGTGAAAAGTCCTGGTTGTTTGTCTACTTCTGGGCTTTTTCCAGAATTTGATTTTTTTAAAAAATGTGCATCCATTTTTAACTCAGTCCCAGGGGGTTTAACATCAAAGGCCCAGGGGGTAGTAAATAGAGTCATAAAATCAGCGCATCATGCGTTCATTGGGCTTCTAGGTAGGAACCTATGATGCGTTCCTTGGGACTCAAAGAGTTAAAGTCTGGCTCCTTTTTATGCAGACTGTTGGTTCCTTGTCTCTTAGGCTGATCCACCACTCTGATTTCAAAGGAAGCACCCCTAATTAGTTACCTTGTATGACATGCTTGTTACAGAGACTAGTTTTCCTCCCCCCTCCAACAATGGGGCACCAGAACCCAAACTGAGAGGTCAAGTTCCTAATAGCTATGTTCTTTAAACTATGGTTTGCAGACTGGTACCAGTCTAGGGATTTGTCCAAGTGGCTCAGTGTCGGCACAGTTATATAACCCTTAAGCAAAAACATATGACATAATGGCCAAGAGGTTTAATTTGATTAAATACATATAATACTATCAACATTTAATACATCTTTGTTGCTTTCACAGTGCAGTTTTCGATGTACCAAGGTTTGATTTCTGTGGCCATCTTTTTAAGGAAAAACAAATCATTTTTATGCTTTAAGGTGTACGAGAATTAAACCATGGAATAGATTTGGATCTTACACTAATATTCCCATAGACATCAGAGTGTGCACTGCTTAAACCTCCATTCTGATAATTACACAATTTGTAATTATTTTTATGTACATTTATTTTTTGTTTCTGCATTAATCTCTGACCCTCGACGAAAATGCCTTTAGCCAGTTCACACAGTTGTTTATTATTTTCATCAGCGGGTGTAAGAAGATTGAATACCACTGCATTATAGCAATTGTTGTACTGTTTACAGATGCATGTTTTATCATTAGTTATCACTGAGTTTTTTCATGTGAGATGAGATGTATATAAGAAATGGAGATGTATAAGAAATGCGGCGAAAAAAAAACAAGAGACAGAGTCACCAGTGAAGAACTGTGTTGTTGTTGTTCGACCATCACAAGTGATGAAGACCACTTTTATCCAAAGTAGATAGCTGGAAAAAAGTGACTTGCGCAAGGACTTAGATTTAAGTGAAGAAGAGTTGCGCAGTTTGTCGACCTCACTCTCTCCCCTGTGGCCATCTTGATCCAGTAGCAGGACCTTGGTCAATTTCCAATAAAAACTTAGAACAGCTGTAGGCACAGCACCTGTAAGTTGAACATCACAGAATCAAATAGTTTGGTCATCTAGTCACAGTGGAACAAAATCAGCCAGCAACTACTTCCTATTCCATGAGAACAGCAGGCTACAAGGCAAGAGGCTTACCAAACAACAGATGGGTGGAAGGAGTAAGAGAGACACTACAGAAATACAGTATAACATTAACACAAGTTATGCACCTAACAAAAGACAGGAAACTACATATAACTCCTCTGTGTAAGACTTTATGAAATATGCAGTAGGACAAAAGCAGAAGAAGAAGAAGTTAGTTGAGTTTAATATAGCCATGATTGTACTCTTCACAGCAGTTTGTTTCTGTCTTGCTCATAGATGATGCGTGCCATACAGCCTGGAAATGTACAGAGCTTAAGAGCTTAGATATCTCCCATAATTTGCTTGAATCCGTTCCCTGCAGCATTCAAGTCTGTGCACGTTTGATCTCACTCAACGCCAGCCATAATCAGCTTCAGACAATATGCATGCCTTGGCAGTGCCCTATGGTAACACTTTTGTCTCTCTCTCCACTGTTATAAATTTAATAATTTTAAAATGTAAATTAAAAATGAATGCATGAGTTCCTTAGTGTTTTTAAATAGTTTTTAAAACAAAGTAATTATATTTATTCACTCTTTTTTTTTTTGCATGTGTATATTTAATTGTGATTGGTAGTCATAACATAAACAACCTACATTATGCTGATGACACAGTCTTGATCGTGACAAGTTAAAAAGAACTATAGAGGTGAATAGATACGGTGGGGGTAGAAAGTATAAAATGGGCCTTGGAAGTCAGAAGTAATGGTAATAATAAGTAATGGTAATGGTAATATCAAGGAAAAGGATAGTGGCTAAATGTATAATAACCATTTATCAGGGTATATTTTAAACAGCTATTTGTACATTACCTTTATTTTCACCGTTAACTGCAACATAGTCTTCTTCTTCGCATTCAACGGCTGTAAACTCGGGCAGAAAGTTCTCGTTGTTCATCCAGCTCTGGTCTTTAGACTTGATCTATAGCCTGAGCATTGTGTGCACATCAGTTTTACAGATCTGACTTATTTATTTATATGCAGACTGTTGGTTCCTTGCCTCTTAGGCACATGCACTCTGACTTTGGGGGAAACCCCCAATAAGTCGACTCTTATGACATACTTGTTGGGGAGACAGTGGGTGTATTCTTGTTTTACCCACAGTGGGGCACTGGAACCCACACGGGCAGTATACACGGGGTCACATTTTTTATTATGATGATACAATTGTTATTTGTTTCTTTTCGATCCTAGGAAAGCCTTGACCTCTCCTTCAACAAGCTGTCAACATTTCCACCAAGTGCCTACCAGTACTGGGGAAAAACATTGAAGAAACTTCACCTGCACCACAACCTGATGACTGAGTTGGCAGAGAGTATTGTCAGAATGCGTGTGTATAAACATTTACTGCCTTATATTTTTAATTAATATTCTATGTCCTGTACCACTTATATGTACTGGTAGCTTCAAATAAAAGCCTTAAAAGTGCGCTAGAACTTACAGTAATAATGCCATTCTCTTGTGACCTGTCAACCTTGTTGTTAAGGATGTCAAGAGTGTTAGGCAAATGCCATTATGTTACAGATGAACACGATGACATCATAATGAAAGTTTAAACATGGCCACCCCACTTCTGACCGTGTGGGTCACACGGTCAAAAATGGGTCATTTCAGTCTTTCATTCCCAGGGGATTTAGCATCAAAGGCCCAAGGAGTGGTGAAAAGAGACGTAAAATTGGTACATCTTGCATTCGTTAAGTTTCTAGGTAGAACCTGTGAACGTATAATGCGCAATCCTTGGGACTGAAAGAGTTAAAGCTCAGAGAGATGTAAACCAGACAGTTTGCTGCCTCTTTCATGTTTATTAATTACTCTCATTTTTTTTGTAAGCAATTAAATATTGGATTGCTCCATTAGTGGAATTACTATGCTTTCTTGTGTGCCATGTGTTTAAAAAAAAATTGCCCAAAATACTGACATTGAACATTTTTCTTTTAAGTCACCAGGTAAAAAGGGTTAACATGGCATCCTGTTTGTTGCACATGTCACTCTTTTTGTTTCACATGTCACCCTCTTTGTTTCACATGTTTCTATTCACTTTTGTGTGTGTATTATCACCAGGCAATCTTTCACACCTGGATGTTTCGCACAACAAGATTCAACAAATGCCACATCCTGGCCTCTGGTGTTGTCCTCTGTTTTTCTTCAACTTGAATCACAACATGCTGGGTGTAGGCGCCTGGAAAAAATCCATGGAGTTCCCAGTTTCTTGTCTGGCATCCACCTTGAATGAGTTGTGCATAGCCAACAACCGTCTGGAGGAGGTGCCCTCAAGTATAAGTGATTTGAGAAAATTATTCATCTTGGACATAAGCGAGTAGGTATATCTTTGTCTTCTTTCTCTTGATCCATGTTACTCTAATTTTTTCCTGTATCTTATTTCATGCTTATATTCCTGTCCTTTTTTCCCCTCGCTTATTCCCTTTTCATGTTATAATTTATCTATCTACAGGTCTGTATCTTGGATTTTAATGCATAGATATATTTGACTTCTCCTCTCTGTCACTCCCTGTTTCTGCAAATTTCTGTTATATCTCACGCTTACGATGTTTATATTTCTGGGTCATTATAATTTCTTGTTGTCTCATTTTTCATGTATCAGGTGTGTCTTAATTTTTTTTTCAGTAGCACATATTTGTGTAAGCTGAATTAACTGCTTTGAATATGAAAAAAATGTTATGTTTTTGTATTTAGTGTTTTGATTTTTGGGGAGCCGTGCGGATGTGAAGATCATGGACTCAAGTCCACATGAAGCCATAATTTGTTTTTAAAACAGTAACTTTTGCTCCAAGGTTGACCTAGCCTTAAATAAGTACCAGTTAAAGTCCTGGGAAGTAAAGGCAGCCAGCGTGATGTTGACCAGCAATACCCATCACGGATCAGTTGGTCAAAAAAAAATATTGGTCTAGCATCATATGCCCCAGGCAATGTGGTATGTGAAGGGATCTTTGCTTTATTCACTTGTATTTTTTAAAAGAGAGAAATGAAAACAGTTGGAAAGAATGTGATACGAGACACAGTCATACTGTTCTGATTACCCAACAGAGGTAGTACTATTAGTGGTGACTGAGGCGAATCATCATTATTAAGTGCCTTGCTGATGATGTATCGTGGATGATAAATGCTTGCTTGCCAACTGGAAGGTCTTGAGTTCAGATTCACATTATGGCAGATTAATTTTGTTTTAAAACTGACCTTGCATCAGTTGGCGTCTGTGGCTTAGGCGTTGCGAGCACGCTTCGTAATGTCTGGGTGCCGGGTTGGATCCCTGCTGCAGGCGGTTTGTCTAGTGATGGTTTCGACCATGGTACTGTGAGCCGACAGTCCAGAAGCAATGGCAAACTACTGGACGTAAATTTGCCTAGAAAACCCACAACAGCCAGAAAGGGCTGGGGTTGGTTCTGCAACGTCCTATACAAAACCTTGCATCATGGTTTAAAAGCTGATCTCAGCTCCCAGCCCTATAGTGGGAACCAATTAATGTACTTGGAAGTAAGGACCACTTGACCAGCTGAGTACAGATTGGTTTATATAGATATCATCATTTGCTTGATGTGCCATTAGTGTAAAAAGGATCGTAAGGACAGAAATATAGAGATACAAAGTAGAGAATCGAGCATCTCTCATGGCGATTGAACTTGAAGTAGAAATTACTATTCTGGTTATTTAGACACCAATTATACTAAAGACGATATGCTATCTGATTAAATGCTAGGGATCTGAAGATTTAAAAAAGGGCATATAGGTGTGCATTGCTGATTTAACTCTGTCAGGTCCATGAATTTTGACAGACTTCGCTCGCAATAATTTCCCTTTACAAAAATAGCAGAGGAGGTAGTGTAAAAAAATATACAATGCAGTTTGTATTATATTTCGAATTCATACAAAATTATATATTTTTTCAAAGAGGAATGAATGTACATTTTTAATCTGATGATATGTATACGTTTAATGCTGTTATAGTTAGTAGGAAAAACCCAGAATTCAGCAGGTGTTATCTTTTATCATCATCATGTGCCCTGCCAACCGGCACAGGCGCTCATGGGTCTCCACAATGTCTTTCTTCTCATTATGTGGCCAAAGAACAGTGTTTGTCTCTTTCCTATTGTTGTATATAAAGATCTACCTATACTGGTTTCTTTCAAGCAATCGTGTTATCTTTTCAAATACAAATTTAGAAAAAAAAAACAGAATGCGATTCAATGTGTGCGGGATACACGATCGACACAGACTATATGGTTTGGGCAAATCCTAACTTCTCAATTAACACACACGGCATTGCTTGGGCCTGAAAGAGTTAAAGAGTTCCTATTCTATGGAAACTTCTAAAACCATGACATGGACTTGTGGGACCACACTAGACAACATAACTATAGCTTTCCATTTTTGTTGTCTAGTGTGCCCTTTTGTCTTTCTACTTCTTTCTGGGAGTGCCGATCAATACCTTGTTTTGCTTTTTGTATATATAATGCCTCTAGCAAGTATATCATGAGAAGTACTAAAAGGATTTTTCTGAAATTTGATGTTTTGGCTGGAAAAGTGCAGAATTTGTAGTCTGGCTATTAAGGGCCAAAACAAATGTCGCCTGCGCTTTTAAGGGTAAGCGCATTTAAAGAATTAAAAAAATGCATGGATGTGTTAGATGTATATTCAGTCAAAGTATGATGGATGTGTTTAGCATTCATACCCAAAAATATCTGCTGACATAGACTAAGCACTTATGAGTGTGTTCTGAGTGCCATTTTGGTTCCTTTCATTTATTTGTAACCATTTATATTTGAATATAGCAACAAAATCAGAAGTCTGCCTCTTGAACTGGGCAAGCTGAGGAGTCTGGCTATTCTGAAGGTCAAAGGTATCAAAGTTAAGGACACAGAGCTGGGCAGACTGATAACTTCTTTAGGTATGTTTTGTTTGTTACAATACTGAATAATACTGATGTAAAAATTATTCGCAAAATAATTGTCATAGTCTATCATCACCATCATGTCTCAGGGGCTAAAATGTACCAAGATACCCATTAACTCTTTCCGTCCCAGAATTTTGTAGCTGATGCCTAATTGAAGCAATAATAATGGGGAGAGGAGGGGGGGGAAAGGTACGCAGCACATTGTGGGTGACTTTTGTTGTTGGGTTGATTCAGTTTCTCTGACTAAACATAAGAAAGATGAATCTACACAACATGTTGACTGGTGCACAAGAATAATGTCCAGTGCATGCATTGCATTGTTTAGGACTGAAAGAATTGAACTCTCAGGGATTTAGAAAGAAGGTGCTATTCAGCTTTTCACCCAATCTTGTCAGTTGTGAGATTTTGTAGGGAATTCCCTTGGACAGTCCTATATTCTAGGGTTGTTACAACACATCTTCGTTCGCTGTATTCATACAACGTGCCAGAAAGTGTCTTGGCTTCGTTTGACCGAGCCAACACACTGTTTACCAGACGAAAGTGCACGGCTTTTTTTTTTTCTCGCAGATGAAAGTGAGCAACTCTTTTTTCTGTGAAACACTGTTCAAGGGTTAGGGTTAGATGCAGGAATACTGACCGGTCAAGAAAATTCATGGCGAATGCCAAGTCACAAAGTAAGAACAGCGCTTTCAAAAATGTTGTGAAATTTAGTGACACTAATCCAAGATACCTGTCATAAGAGCCTTCAAAGGAGGGTGGTGTGAGATTGGCTACTTCATCAGTCTAAACAAACACGAACAAACCTTCAGTGGGTTCCAGGTGGTTAAAACCTAAACTTCATTGGGAAATGGCAGAAAAAAAAAGAAAGGAAAAAGAAAATAATCGGTGTTTGATAATATAAACCTCAAAACACTCAGACATACTGAATTGCTGTAATTTCAAGATTACAATGTGTTTTTGTCAACATTTGACAGATTACCAAGTTATAGTAAGGGATTTCATGATTGCTTCATTGAGCATATTATGCTAGACTTCTCTTTTTAAATAGACCAGTTAGCATTCAGGTGATGTCAGCATCACGCCACATGCCTTTACTTCCCAGGACTTTACCAGATACCCAGTTTAGGCTGGGTCAACCTTGGAGCTAAGATAATTTAAAAAAACAAACAAATTAAAAACAGCAGATTTGAATCCAAGACCATCAGCCTGACAGGATGATGTGCCAAGTTGTAGGCATACAGGGATTTAACATGTTAACTCAACACTTCGGTTGTAATTTAACTTGAGTGAAAAACTAAATGAAATAATAAGGAAAATATGCATTACTTTTTTTTTTGTTACAGACAGCGGTGTAAAAGATGTATATGCCAGCAGTATTATCCAGTACCTGGACAGAGCACGTAGAAAATGTATCCATGCTGGCATCTTAAAAATTATTGTACTTGGATGTAAGGTTAGTTCCTTTTCTTTCTTCTTCTTATTTTGTCCTTCTCCTCACTTCTCTTCTTCTACTCTTTCTCCTCCTCTTCCACTGTAGCTGCTGCTCCCCTTTCTTCTTCCTCTTTTATCTTCTCTTCTTCTTGATCTTTTTCCCTTCCTCCTGCTTCTTTATCTTCCTTCTGCTTTTCTTTTTTCCTGTCCATACCTCCTCTTTCTTTGCTTTTGCATTTATTTGTTTGTTGTTGCTGTCAGTGACAGGTGAGATTTCATGAGGAACTCGACAGAGCTGTGTGTAATTCCTCTTTGGAATCATACATCACTGAATTTTCAATATTGATTCACTGGGTCAGTAGATTTTTCTCAGCTTGCTGTATAGGGACAGTCTTGCATAACATTTGTTTTGTTTGCTTAGTTCATGTGAACATGATTAGCTCACTGATTATGAATCTTGGAGACTGCATTTTAGCATTTTGGTCTCCATTTAAAAAAAAAAAAAAAGAGTAAAGAATAAAATTTAAAAAAAAATAAACATTTAAAGTTGGATTGAATTTGTTTCGCTGAATTTGATCCCATATAGCTCAGTCTGTTTCTGCAGATGGATTAGCCACCTGTTGAGAGCATCGTACAAAGTATGAACTCTGTGGCTCCAGCAATGATCCACAGTGATCATTATAAAAATTTCCCTTATGAACAAAAAAATCATCGTCCATTAAAAGAACACATGACTTTCAGAGCACATGACTTTCAGAGCACACGACTTTTAGAGCACAGGGCAAATGGCCTAACCAGTAACAAGCACTGATCCTGAATGAAGAGCGAAATGGATACCCCAAATTGCATAGGGTGTCCCATAACTTTTCATACACAGGAAAAAGAAACATACAACCAAAGACATTACAAGCTTACTGCAGATGTGCTTATACATGTTTTTTTTAGCAGTGGAGGATACATATCAAAATATGTTTTCAAAACAATGGTAGTCATAAAGAGCACGTTATGTAAGTAAAAAGTAAAGGACCCTTTTCCACTCCTTCAGGCGTATAGGGCATTTAGGGCTAGACCTATATTTTTATAGACTAATCGGCACTAGATGGGTGATATAGTCAGCATCATACCAGCCGCCTTTACTCTCCGGGACTGCACCTAGTACCCACTTAGGGGGGTCGACCTGGGAGCCAAGGTCACTTTTTAAATAAAGTCTGGCTCCACCAGGGAGTAAACCCACGACCTTCCAATTTGCAGGCGAGCGTCTAGCCGCTACACCTCGGTGACTCAGCATGTTATGTCAAAAATTATTTTCATTAAAAAATGTTTATTTTGCCTATGTAAATTTATGGGACACTCTAAAACCCATTGTCAGTGATTTATTTGTTTTGCTTGGCTCCTATTCTTTGGCATTTTTTTAATAACTATTTTTATTACCAATTGAATGCAGTGTTTTCATATTTCTTTTGTGTATATATTTATCTTAGAACAAAGATGGTTATTGCATAGTACAGGAACTTGCCAACAAAAGAAACGTCCAAGCAGCTGAACATGAGGTAAGAGCTAATTGTTAAGAGATCTGTGTTGCCTTACAGTATGAGTTCTCGATTTACGAGAGTTCAGTTTCTGCACTGGATGGTTTAGAGAAAAGACTGTTCTGTGGCTTTAAGACAGTGGTATGAGAGTCACACTGTGGAAGAAACTGGGGCCTTACCACTCTTTATTACTAGAGACTACGGCAGATGTGCATTTCCAGTGAAAATGGCCTTTATATCGTCTGATGTTATCCTTTACGCTGACAGCTGGCACGTCTTTATCCAAAACCTTTACTTACCTAACTGTAGGAAGCAGTGGGAAATTATAACCACAGATGGAAAAGGTAACACAGAAATAACGAGTTAAAAAGTGTTTACCATGTTGAATTCCAGCTGAAAGGATTTTACCATTTTGAATTCCAGCTAAAGGATTTTTACTAGGGCTGTACCGAATAGTGATTTTTACTATTCGGCCGAATACGAATAACTGGACCAACTATTCGGCCGAATACGAAAAGTGTATAAAATATATCTAAAAAAAAAACATTCATAGTGTCAAATTTACGCTAAACTTTTACTTCACATAAAGTAGCACAGAATAGTCATCTTCTTCTTTAGCATTCTGAGCCCTTGAGGTTTACTGCTGCAGATATCACTCATCTCCATTCATCTCTCTGGCTGGCCATCTCTTCACAATTTGTGACACCAGTTGTTTGCAGGTCTGGCTTAAAATTATCTCTCGAACTTCTTTTTTGTCTGCCTCGTGGTCTACGCCCATTCCTCTCTCAGGTGTATCCATTTTTTTCTTCTCTGTCATCTGACATTCTTTCAATATGCCCTAACCATTTTAGTCTGTTAGCTCTCATGATGCCAGTGATCAATGGTGATTTAAACAGATTATGTGTTACATTGTTGCTTCTCACTCTCCATTTCCCTCTGTTATCATTTTTGATGGGTCCAAAGATTTGTCGTAAGACTGTTTTCGAAAACCTGTAATAAGGCCTCATCTCTTTTATTTCTGCTTCGTTTCAGACCCATATAAAATTACTGGTCTTATCAACGTTTTATATATATTGATCTTGGTGTTGCGAGACAGACACTTTGATTTTAGAAGATGTTGAAGGGCATAATATATACTTTATTTCTAGATTGTATTTTAGATTGTATTTCTTCTCTCAGCATGTTGGAGCAGTTGAAGTTTGCACCCAAGTACTTATATGTTTCTGTTCATTTAATTTTCATATTATCGACTTGGATGTGGCCGGAGTTTAGATTCTTTCCATGTCTAGTTAGTATTCGTACAGAATAGCAAACATTTAAAAACATTTTATGTTTTGCATCCTTCAGTCAGTCTGTGTTAACTAATAACTAGAAACGAAAGAATCCTAAGTATTATAACAAGTAACTAAACTTGGAAATTGTCACTGACAGCTTAGTTAGTGTATGAAAGCTGCATTAGCTTTCAACAAAACCAATTGTTCCATGTTGTCAGCATTAAGGCCATGTATGCAGAAGCAGGTGTAAGGTAACTAATATTTGTATTCGGCCCGACCGCAACTATTCGGCCAAATACTGAATAGTCAATAGGTCCACTATTCGGCCCCGAAGAGAATATGAATCGAATATTCGGTACAGCCCTAGTTTTTACCATGTTGAATTTCTGCTAAAAGGTTTTTACCATGTTGAATTCCAGCTGAAAGGTTGTTATCATGTTGAATTCTGGCTAAAATGTTTTTACCATTGTGAATTCCAGCTGAAAGGTTTTTACCATGTTGAATTCCAGCTAAAAGGTTGTTATCATGTTGAATTCCAGCTTTAAAAAAAAAAAGGTTTTTGCCATGTTGAATTCCATCTAAAAAGTTTTTTACTATGTTGAATTCCAACTTTAAAAAAAGAAAAAAGTTTTTGCCATGTTGAATTCCAGCAAATAGGTTTTTACCATGCTGAATTCCAGCTGAAAGGTTGTTTTCATGTTGAATTCCAGCTAAAAGGTTTTTACCATGTTGAATTCCAGCTGAAAGGTTGTTACCATATTGAATTCCAGCTGAAAGGTTGTTACCATGTTGAATTCCAGCTAAAAGGTTTTTACCATGTTGAACTCCAGCTGAAAGGTTGTTACCGTGTTGAATTCCAGCTGAAAGGTTGTTACCATGTTGAATTCCAGCTAAAAGGTTTTTACCATGTTGAATTCCAGCTGAAAGGTTGTTATCATGTTGAATTCCAGCAAAAATGTTAGTATGTGTGCATTAACATAGAATACAAGTTTACATGTATAATCAGGTTGTTCTATTTGATTTACTTCATTGCTTTGTTTATTTTGACAGGAATTGACCGTTACTGAGATGATTTTAAAGCCAGTAAGTGAATGTTTTTTCCTATAAAATTTTCAAAATGTATAATTAGTGATTCCAAATTTGTACTTTTCGAACTGTGATAATTAGGGGCCATAATTATTGTTATTTGTTAATTTAAAACATGGGGTACATATAATTTTTAGGGGCTTTTTCCCACTACTCTCTAAAGCGTTATATTCCCTGTCTTCTTCTCCCTAAAGTCCATGCCATGAGGCGTTGGTAGTCATGTCTTTCCACAACCTTCTGTCTCATGCACTTTCAGTCTGTTCTGACACAGATGATTTTCCTTGCCGCCTTGCCGTAAGGCGTTGGTATTAATTTCTGTCCACATCCTTCTGTCTCATGCACTATCACTCAGTTCTGAGTTATGAGTTAGATTATCTTCACAGCACTCCAGACATATCCATAGGCACTCAGATTCCCCTCTCAACATATTTATCAGCGTCGTGCGGTTAATAGTACCAGTCCCATGTTGGTTAACAAGACTTTGTGTGCGTCCGGCCTGCTTCTCATGCTTGGCTATGCCGATCATTACTCCCAATTTGCGTATTCTTAGCAGCGATGTGGACACATTGCTTCTAAAATCCTCAGAACGTTCTCTCTCTCTAAGGGCAATTACAGTGTCTGCGTGATCCATTAGCCAGCCATCTTCAGTTAATGCAGCACCTGCCAGTCTGTCAGCTCTCTCATTACCAACAATGCCTGCACGCCCTGGGACGAATATGAAGGTAACTGCACACACAGGAGAGTTTTGCAATGACTCAGACCACTGTCTGCATAACGAGCCTGCCTCGACCCACCAGATCATACTCCTATCAAGTGTCACAACACAGGAGAATGTAAGATTGTGCGCTTTAGACGCAGGTTTCCATTCCTAACCTAGATGGATGTCATTAAGACTCCAAACCTGCATGATGTCATCCTCTGCCCTACCCAGCCATGATTTGCCCCTTTTAAGCCTATTGCCTTTTTTCTTGAAGAGCATGTGGTGCAAAGGGTGCTTCAAATCTGAGCTTATCTTGAGTTATGCATGAGCCCTCCAGATCTTGATCCTTTAGTTCATGGTAGGGAAGTCAAGAAGGTACCTCATTGCTACACAAAAGGTGTCTCCAGTGCACCCCAGAATAATGTGCATTGCTTCATTTTGCACCTTCTCAAGTCTTTCCATTTGAGTATGGCTGACAGTGAGGATGGCAAGAGCATATTCGATGGGAGAAAGTACAAGTCCCTGGAACAGAAGCATTCAATGCTCAATGTTAGCGGCAGCCAGGACCCTCATTGCTGACAGGCCTTTGCGTGCTTTTGTTATGACATGGTCAACATGTTCTCTGAAGGATAGGCTGCGATCAAACCTTACTCCGAGGTATGTTATCAGATTTGTTCACTCTGTTCTGACACAGGTGATCCTCCATGCCATGATGTCACACTGTCCAGCATCTTCTCTCTTAGTCTCTCCCTGCCTTTTCCCCCCGTCTCCTTACAGCCACACAGAAATCCAATGTTTGTAATTATTGTTTAGAGTTCTAAGTCAGATTTTGGAATTCTTCAGAATAAACTGTAAATTAAATGTCAACCTCTCCTTGAAGGGAGAGTTGAAATACACAGAAAATGTTAAATATTGCAGTCACTTTAATTACAAAAAAAAAATACTTTATCGTGACAGTAAAACTAGTTTAATAAAATTACTAGTATGCAGTACATTTTTTTAAATATCAGTGAAAGGTAAAACAGGATTCTACTATAATAATGGGTATTAGGTTGTAATTATATACACAAACTACTCCTGCCTTTCCTTGAGGAATGATCAGGATTTATACAGTTACCCTGGATGGGTCCACTTGGTCCAGATGGCAGAGATGACTCCATGACAGTGTTGCCACTTTGGATGTTTTGCATCCAGATTTAGATGTTTTCCCTTGCATTTAGATGGCATTTTTGACGTTTATATGGTAGATGTTTGTCATTTGGAGTGAATTTATCAAATCTAACCTGAGAAACAGGATGAAATTTGACCTCTTAAATGCTATCTTGACTATAAAATTCGGCCTGATAAGAGTAGGGAAAGGCTGTTCCACTTATCAGCTCCCTGATTAGGTATTAAAAGAAATTGGAACAGCTAAAGCATACCAGTCATTTTGGATCTGAAGGTTCAGCTTCATCATCCAAGCTAAGTTTATCCTGTGGATCTTGTAAGGCAGACACTTCATAATTCCTTTATTGGGCACATTTCACAATATGATTGTTAGGGGGACAGTGAGCTCGTTATTTTGGTGCCTTTTTAATATCCTACCCCAAAGAGGGAAAATCCACAGGTCACGGAACCGTCTAATATTTCAGAGGGTGGTAGATAGGCTGCTTGCAGTCGTAGGACCTAGGCTGCATGCAGTCGTGTGACCTAGGCTACACTCTCTTGTGCGACGTAGGTGGGTTGGGGTTAGGGCCAGTTCTAGATGTTTTGGGGTCATTAAAAGTATCAGAAAGCTGGGAAACCCAGTCTTTACCACCCTCTAAAATGTTGGACTGTCCTGTGACATCATCTGGGGTAGGATCCAGTATTTTTTTCCTCTCTTTCCACAATGGGAGCCCTGGATCCCACATAGGGAAAAATAAGCTTTTAAAAGGCATATTTAAGGGGAAAGTCACAAGCAAAAGAACAACATCGAGAGATGGATGAATGTTGGTCTGAGAGTGTACAATCAAGACAAAAGACAGAGTGCATTGGAGATCAACTTCAATCAACTCTAATTGTAGAGATAGCACCTGATGGCTTTTTCTGCATGCAAACAAAATCAGGGCTTTATAAGCTACACATTAATTTGTTAATATGCTCATTTTGTGTAAATCTGCAGACCATGTTATAAATGTATCTTATATGTTGGTTTTCTCTGCCAAACAGAAGAAAGTAAAGCTGAAAATCTGGGAACTCCCGGATTCCAAAGTTACCTCTAGTATCTTGCCTTGTTTCCTGACCTTGAACTCACTATATTTGATTGTCCATGATGTCAGCATCTATGGTGCCGATGTACATTCAGTTTCAGAGAAAGTGGCATCTATTCAGGTTAGCCATATGATGGTTTTCTTAATAATTTTAATTTTAACCTCTACTCATTCAACTGCAACTTTCCCAAAAACTAAAGTATTTTAGTCATGTTAAATGTCATAGAGGGGGCTGTGTGGTCTCGAGGCATGGTGTCCGCCTCGAGTGCCAGAGGTTCCGAGTTTAATCCCCGGTGAGGGCTGAGATTTTTTCACGTGGACTTGGGCTTCTAGTTATTCCCCCTGGTCTCTGGGTAGTGAAATCAGACGTCCGTGTGCATTATTGCACACATAAAAAATCCCTTGGCAGTTGAAAATCAAAAAGAGTAGCCTAACAGCGCTGCCCGGGAAAAATTTTGAGTTAAAAATCTACCCAAAGTATTTCGGGATCCTCGCCGGTGCTACAAACTGGCTGAAGAACCTATGGCAAAGCACCTGTAAATAAGTCTAAGAAAAAAATCGTGAGATCATGTATTTTTCCTGTGGCAACTTAAGAAAAAGATTGGAGCTTTTGAATTGAAATGTTGTAGAAACATTCTCAGAATACCGTGGATCAAGAAAAGGAAAAAACATCAACAGTCTACACGAGTGAAACATCAAGAGAACTGGCTCATAAACAGCATCCTGTTCCAAAAGTTGAAGTATTTTAGCCACATCAAATGTCATGGTGGCTTGGAAAAGACGGTGATGGAAGGTGCAGTTTGTGGAAGGCGAGGCAGGGGTTGACCTCCGTGAAGATGGATACAAAATATTGAGGATGCATGGGCATTGAAATCGCATGGGGCTGGAGAGCTGGCTAGAGAGAGGGATACTTTTAAGGGTGCCGTGAGGACATGCTAATTGATGATGATTTAAAAAAAACAGTTGAGTTCATTTCTCACATAAATATACTTTAGTATTGCAGTTTGTCTGCATAGTTAATGACACTAAAAGTATTATGCCAATTTTGTTGTTGAGTACTAATCATCATCATGTTCTCCGCCAATCAGCGTAAGTAGTAATAGAATCATGAAACAGTTCAGGGTTCTTTTCTCATCCCATCCATATGGCCATGCCATCCATGTAATTATCACACCTTCTCTTTGCTTTTTCTGTTTGTTTATCTTGTCACTAACTTCTCAGGACTATTCCTTCTCATAAGATTGCAAGAAATATTGCCTATGTCTCTAATAAGGTTACAGTTTTAATCTGACTCCAGGAGGACTTCCTGTTTGTTTTTCAATCAGTTCATGAAATTCTTTGCACTTTTCTAAAAGACCACAATCCCTGTGGCTTGTTTAGTTATTGTCCATATCTTACATGCATTTAACAATACAGATTTCTACACCCTTTCACCGCTTTTTTCTCAATGCAAATGACATCCACTGAAAAGAAAACACCTGTTAATTTCTTCATCTTCTTACCATTCAGTGGCTGTAAACTCAGCCAACAGTTTTTGGTTGTTCATCCACTTGTGGGCTATGGTTTTATTCCAGAACTTGAGTTTTGCAGTGGGGAAGTTGTCAAGCTGTTTTCCTCGCACCCTGAAGGTCGTGGATTTGTTTAAGGGCTGTGCTATTCAGTTCACCAGTGCAGTTATTACGGATATCCCTTGAGATCATCACCAGAGCTACAGAGTTTGTGCCTTGTGTGGCGCTCTTGGCAGGCGGCTAGCTGTTCTGCGGAGAAAGACTGAGTCATATGGGAAAAAACCCAGTGCAATTAAGTCGATCCTCTCACCTTTAACAAATCTGGCTTATTTGTATTCACTCTCCTTCTCCACATTGACCGGCTGTAAACTCTGGCAGAAAGTTCTGGTTGCTTGTCCACCTCTGGACTTTAGTCTCCTTCCAGAACTTGAGTGTTGCATGCACATCCGTTTTACAGATCTTACTTATTTTTTGCAGACTGTTGGTTACTTGCCTTTCAAGCAGATGCCTCAGACTTCAAAGGAACCCCTCAGTCAGTTGATTCTTACAACTTGCTTGTTGGGAAGTCAGTGAGTTTTCACCACAACAGGGCCCCGGAACCAAGACAGAAAGCTTATTTGAATTCAGACTGTTAGTTTTTCGTCTCTCAGGCAGATACACTCCAACTTCAAAGGAAATAACCTTAATTAGTCACCAACTTATCACAAACATCTTAAGGAGACAGTCATCATTTTTCGGCCATGTTATGAGAAGAGGTAAAATAGAACATGTTGTGACCATTGGAAAGATCTGTGGAAGGAGGGATGGAGGAAGACGAGAGAAGATTCTTGACAGTCTTGTTGCATGGCATAGAGGTGTGTCAGCACATGAACTGATACATGCTGCAGGAGATCCCAGATTGTGGAGAGGCCTGATCACCCACGCCAGTCAGCAAGACACCTGATGATGATGATGATGGATTAGTCACCTTCTGTGACATATTTATTAGGGGGCATGAAATATGACTTGTTCTTCCACATTTCCAGAGGCTCGGTTTGATTTTCTAGTAGCCTGTTAATTTTCAAGTTTCTGCTCTATACAACAGGGTTGAATGTACGTAACATTTGACGATTCTCATTTTTCAATTTGTTGCTTATCTCTCTACTGTTAGTAATTTTCGTATTTTACTGAAGACATTTTTTAGCCATTCCAATTTTCTTTTCGATTTTTAACTTCTGCCATCATCTGTTACTACATGTCCGAGACAGGAAAACTAGTTACTTGTTCTTACATCTCTCTGTTTACTGTGATGTTCACTATTGGTCGTTCTTTGCCATTGTTAATTACCATATATTTTTTTTTTTATGTAATGACTAAATTTAGCATCCTCTATTAATGTTTTATAATGATTTATTTCAGGCCTGTGTTTTACGCCCCCACGTAATAGTTGTGTGCATATACTCAAAGCTGTTGGACCAGGATGAGCAAAAAAGACTAGAAAAGGATATATTTTCTAAATTAGGGAAAATATTGCCAAAAGCAATGCTTGTTTCGGTCATATCTGGAGACTGTTGCAATTCTCGAACTCTGCAGCAAGCAGTAAATAGTTTGTGGGAAACTATGTCTGATGCTGCATATGATCCAAATGCAAAAATTTGTCAGAGACAAGTGCCAAGGAAGTTTCTAGAAGTGATAGAAAATCTGGCCAGATTCAAGAAAAACATCTGCAGGATGAGTGAACTTTTGCAGGCTGTCAACTGTAACATTAAGGATCTAGAGGATGGGTTAGACCAAAATTTGACCTGTAAGTTGGAATCCAATTTTTTAGTACATCAATTGGGTAGTTATTATTAGATCTTGTTGTCTGCGTGTTAGATTTAGGCTTTCTGCCATATATATATATATATATATATATATATATATATATATATATATATTAGGGCTGTACCGAATAGTGATTTTCGCTATTCGGCCGAATACAAATAACTTCATTGCATTGTATTTTATTACATAAGGCACGGCCTATCTTTGCAGAATGGCTAACCACTTGCCAAGAGTGTCACACAAAAACACCAACCTCTCTAGCTTCAGCGATCATTTCCAGGGATCTCTGTAAAATTGCACTCATGAACCGAACAAGACCATCGTGAAATGAACCCGTGACCTTCAGAGTGCAAGGCAAATGATGAATGCCCCTGTGTGGGTTCCGGGGCCCCGTTGTGGGGAAAACACGAATAGACCCACTGTCTCCTCAAAAGCATGTCGATAAATTGGGGAGCTTCCTTTGAAGTCAGAGTGCATCTGCCGGAGAGGCAAGGAACCAACAGTCTGTATTCAAGAGAATGAGATCTGTAAAACTGATGCACACGCAACACTCAGGTTCTGGAGCAGGACTGCAGTTCAGTAGTGGATGAGCAACCAGAACTTTCTGCCAGAGTATACAGCTGGTGAACGCGAAGGAGAAGAAGAATAAATGATGAATGGTGTATGTTTTGGGTGACATGCTTTGCACCAGGGATCACATTTTTGTCTTGGCCGTAATCTCATTATTTAATTGTCAGACTGTGTACAAGCATGTTTATTATCCAATACACTCAAAAGTTTGTTTGTTACTTTGTGTAACTGCGTTTTCCCTAGTGCGTAACTTCCTGTTACAAGCTGGTGGCATGCTGCACTACAACATGCATGTGGGTGAACTGTCTGACTGTGTCATTCTAAACCCTGCATGGCTGTTTGATCTACTCTTAAAGTTCTTACAGGTTAGTCATTTCACTCGTACATTTACAGAACTTTATCAGTCCTGGTAATATTTAGTTTCTTTCTCTAGGACAGTGATTTCCAAACTGTGTGTCGGGGCGCCCCGGGGAGCCACAACTTCTTCACAAGGACACCACAAAATTTTGAAAATATTGAAAAACTTCATAATTAATTTAACCAAGACACAAATAGTCATACTTTTACTTAGGTTAAGGCGATGTGGAAAAATTTTAATTGAAAAAAGGTGCCACGACCAAGACAAGTTTGAGAAACACTGCTCTAGAACATGCATAAATAATCATTGTCATCTGAAAACATGCTTAGGTTCTGAAATTGTGTTATACAGAAGAGATCAAGAACAGAATCAATCGACTGGCACCTTTCTGTCTTTCCAGTTGATAGTGTTATATTTCGCTATGAGGAGGCATGGAACTCACAGCCTATGGCGGTGGCGAGTGTGACTAGCAAGACCCGCCCGTGTCAAGAAAAGTCTTCCACAATGATAGCATGAGATTTCAGGACCATTGTTGTCAACATTTATTTCTTCTGAGATGCTCAGCTCCCATCTTTTCTGCAATCATTTCTTTTTTTCACTCTCATTCTCTTCCTGATATGCCCTCTCCACACAACACGGTCCATGGCAAGATAACTTTCAACAGAACAGAATATATTTTTTGTTTAATCCGTTTCTTCTCAGACGCTCAGCTCTCATCTTTTCTGCAATATTTTCTTCCTTCACTCGCATTCCCTTCCTGATATCCCCTCTCCCCTCTCCACACAACACAGTCCATGGCAAGAGAACTTTTTACAGAATAGGATAGAACAGGCTAAAACTGCATTTTATAAAATGAAGAACATTTAATGCAATCAATCCATGTCATTAGAGGTTAGGAAAAGAAATCTTGCATGCTATATAGAGCCAGTTTTAGCATGCAACTGTGAATCCTGGACAGTTAGTGAACAAGCCAGATAATTTATGGAGCCCTATGAGATGTAGTTTTACAGAATTAGAATTTCTTGGAACAGCTCAGATGTTTTGAAAGAGATGAGAGCTCAAAGACAAATTATCAAAAATGTCAGAAAGAGACAGTCATAATGTTTAGTCATGTTGTAAGAAGCAGAAAACCGGACTATGTTGTGACAACTGGAAAGATCTGTGGGAAAAAAAGGGACAGGATGACATTGTGAGAGGATTCTTAACAGCCTTTTGCATTGTTACGGAGGGGTGTCAGTACATGAACTGATATATGCTGTTGAAGATCACAGATTTAGGAGAGACGTGATCTCCAACCCCAGTCACCAAAGCACTTGATGGTGATGATCATACAGAAAAAAATGACAGTCATGGAAGATGTGAAAAGTTAAAAGGCTAGAGATTAATATTTCAAGATCCCCCGCGTGGGTTCCGGGGCCCTGTTATAGGGTAAACAAGAATAAACCCACTGCCTAACCAAAAGCATTTCGTAAGAGTCGACTAAATGGGAGCTTCCTTGGAAGTCGGAATGCATCTACCTGAGAGGCAAGGAACTAGCAGTCTGCATACAAATGAGTCAGATCTGTAAAACTGATGCACACGCAACACAGGACTGCAGTCCAGAAATGGACGAACATCCAGAACTTTCCACCGGAGTTTACAGCTGGTGAACACGAAGAAGAAGAAGAAGAAAATTTCAAAAGGTCTGCAAAGATGCAACACCTTCATGTTTTAGTTTACTGGAACCAGGGCTCAAACTAGTCAAGAACTGTCTATACTTCTGCCTGCCCTGATCATGCTAGAAACAGGTTTCCTATTGGAGTTTTGCACCCATATGAGTGTCATTCAGAGAGTAATGCATCAGTTTGTTTTGTTCTTAAAAGAAAATAATGAAGTTATAAATGCACATTAAATTTCTGCACTAATTCAATAAAATGGCATGTAAGGATAATGTGTGTTACTGGCAGTGAATTGTTGTAGAATTTCTGAATACGGCAAAAGAAACTGGTGAAAAATTAATCAAGTGTTAGGCAGTGTATGTAAGCTAGGAGGTATTCAATAGGAGGACTGTTGGTCACTGGTTTTAGAGAGTTGACCCCAGGACGTTATTCATGCTATAAATAAAAATGACTGCATGAACTCGAGAAAACTTGATATAGGCAAGGCATGCATGCACTGGTTCACACTGGCTTAGGGTCGTTGATTATATAGAAAATACAGACACATAAAGGACTCCATAAGTTAAATTGTCAGTGGGTGAGATCCACTATAATCTCCCCAGTCAAACTAGGTCGCGTTCCATTTATATACTTTTTTAAATCCGTCTGCTGTCTGGGAAGTTAAGGCTATGTTGTCCTTTCTGGCTTTTCTTGCATTTACGTTTTTTTTCTTCAGAGAAAGAAAATGACTCTGACATAGGTTGCAGCACTCTCTAGGGGGGTTGTGGGTTAGACCCAGTTTGTAAATGTTTTTGTAGTGTTAAAGTGCTGGCGTGCTAGAGTACAAAACGCAATATCAATGCATTGCCGAACACCCCTCTAGCAGTGTGCGAAGGTCAGGTAACTGGAGGTCGACCAATCAGGAGAGAGCTAGTGTGTAATGGGGGGAGATTATCGTGAATTTCATATTTTTTGCACAAACAGTTTGCAACTGAGATTTTTCTTCTGAATGTCATATGTAGATAGGATTGAAATTTCATTTGAAGTCAGAGGTCATCTAACTGAAAGGCAAGGAACCAACAATCTACATAGATTAAAAGCCAGATATCTAAAATAGCCGTGCACACAACACCCAGGTCCTGGAACAAGATTAATATTCAGATGTTGATGACAAACCAGGACTTTCCACCAGTTTACAGACAGTGAAGGCTAACAATGATAGCAACATTAAAATGTTTAGCATGAACTATGAAACTTGTGTTTTTTGTGTGTGTGTGCCTTAAACGGTCTGCAGCGTGTCATTTTTATGAGGTCAAAAGCCCAATATTTATTAGCTCCAAAGGAGCTTGAACTAAAAACTGCACATTTTAAAGGTTTTATTATATTTTTGCTGAACATATTCAGATGAACGAAAGAAAATATGTATAGTTTTTGTTATATAGTCACCACTGCGTTTAGTGCAAGTGTTCCAGCACAGATAAACTGCTTGGACTCCTTAAGAAAAAAAAAAATGTTCTTGGTCGCTTGTGTGTAACCACTCATGCACCACCTGCTGTACCTCTTTATTGGACCAAAACGTCTTTCCTCTCAATGACAGAGTGGTCCGGTACAGACAGGTGGAAGTCTTTTGGGGTCTAGACCTGGTGAGTTCGGGGGATGTGAAAGTCACTGAAAGTGGAGGTCTTCAGTGGTTTCTACTATTGAATGGAGAGGGTATGGGGTGTCAGTTATTGGTAGTACCTCTGGTTGGGGAGCCTGTCATGTTCTTTTTAGGACAGCTTGATAACCTTTGGTCCAAAACTGACACTCAGCTCTCACCTGTGGCTCCACGTAGCTGTCAGCATTCGACAGCCCCCCCCCCCCCCCCCAGGCAACGGCTTTGACAGGCCGGCAAAACCAGGTGAGGGTAGCCGATGTTTTAATATAGGTGAGTTAGGATCTGCCTATCCAAGCATACAAAGACTACTGTCGGCAGAATGCGGGGAGGAAACCATATTTTGTTCAATGGGCAAGACGGCGACACTAGCAAAGCGCTGTGGAGCGCATAGGGCATGGTGAGGCACGTTGAACGCCGCCCTGGTCATCCACTGCACCTAGACATATCTCCAGGCGTCCTGACTCTGTCTTGCCACTGGACCCAGATATGACTTAGGCGAGAGAGTGAGGTTGATGACACTGCGCAACTCTTCCTCACTTTAATCCAAGTCACCGCGCAAGTCACTCTTTCATCATTCATCAGAAGCGGATATGCAGCACAACATCGACAAATTCAGTGATGCCTGTACAAACTTTAGGCTCACCATCAATAAAGATAAAACTGTAGCCATGCACCAGCTAGCCCTAGGGCAAAGATACATAGAGCCCAATATCACAGTGAATGGCTACAGATTAAACGTTGTCAGTAAATGTACTTATCTAGGCAGCACCCTTTCACAGAGTGCCACAATTGATGACGAAGTAAATGCAAGGATCTCTAGGGCTAGCGTTGCCTTCGGCAGATTGTACAAAAATGTTTGGAACAGAAGTGGCATAACCCTGCAGTCAAAGCTTAAAGTATACAGAGCAGTTGTATTAACTTCACTGCTGTACGCATGTGAAACATGGACTGTGTACCAGCGCCAGACTAGAAAGTTAAACCACTTTCACACAGTCTGCCTTAGAAAACTAATGCATATCAGATGGCAAGACAAAGTACCTGATACCATAGTCCTTGAGAAAGCAGCCATGCCCAGCATCCACACTCTACTGATGCAGTATCAAATTCGTTGGGCTGGTCATGTGGCAGATCACAGGCAACCAAAAAAAACTCTTCTATGGTGAGCTGCAAAATGGGAAACATTCACAAGGCGGGCAAAAGAAACACTCTAAGGATACCTTGAAGTCTTCACTCAAAGCATTTGGAATGAATGACACCAATTGGGAGGCTGCCTCTCAAGACCGAAAAGCAATGGCGTGCAGCTCTACACAAGGGTGCGGCTACATGTGAAGCAAACAGAACAGCAAGACCTATTAAGAAAAGGATGGACGGAAAGGCGACTGCAGGAGATCTCCTCCCTGGCACAACGCTCATTTCCTGTCCTCACTGTCCAAGAAATTTTCGGGCCCGCATCGGCCTCATCAGTCATCTCCGTACTCATACTTGATGAAAAAAGAGTGGTCATCATCATCTTGATGGACAACACACACACTATTGAATGGGCAGTATGGGGTCCAGCATTATTGTAATGCAAAAGGACACTTTTACCAAGAAAGAAGTCCATGTTGTTTGTATTTGATCGCAGGTCAGAAATGATTCCCATGAAGATATCTATACGTATCACTGGTAACAGTTTTCCATCTGACATTTAGGGCTCTAAAATAATGCCTCTTTCATCCCAAAAGAGAGTCATCATAGTTATTCCTGCAGATAGCTGCCTGCAAAACTTCTTTGCTTTTGGTTGAAGAAGGATGATGCCATTCCTTGCTTTTCTCTTCATTTCTAGCTCATGAAGTGAACCCCAGTTTTGTGTCGAGTAATAGCTCTTCATAGAAAATCCTCATCCTCTGCTTCAAAGCACCTCAACATTTTTGTGACAAGCATCAATGTGTGCTTTCAATTCTGAACTAAGCTGCTGTGGCACCTATGGTAAACGGCACTTTGGAGTATTGTAGCAGATGAATGATGTGAGTTGAAGCTTGTGTCATGTCAAGATGTGCGGCAGTGTCACTCTTAGTACAGATGTATTCTTTTTATAATGAGTTTTGTGCGTGTGTATGTTTACTCTTATATTTTGTATCCAATGGTCACAGAATGTGATGACTCGGAATAGCAAGAAAGCTGGACAATTGCCATTAAGGACTGTGAGAGACAGACTTCAGGAAATACTACCAGCAGGAAATTATGACTATTTTCCTGCCATTCTGAAGCTAATGGAGGCCTTCAACATTGGAGTACGACTGATGGACAATACAAGCAAGGAGGAAGAAATGTAAAATCTGCTTTTGTTAATTGAATAATATTCTTCTTTTGTTGCGGTGTTACAAGGTGTTGCAGACAGAAGGCAGATGCATTTTCTTTATTCTTTACAAGATGTATAATCTCAACAACTTCTTCTTCTTCTTCTTTGCGTTCGGTTTTGTATGCTGTGATCAGACCATCAGGTTTGTTGCCTCTATGAACTCCAGTGTCAGTTGCAGAATTCAACAATCTGTATTCTTTTGTCACTTCTTGAGAATCAGAAAACTGGACTGTACATTGACTGTGGTAAAGTTACAGTGTAAAAGAGGGATAGGGAGACAGAAAGAAGATGCTGGATAACAGTAACATCATAGCATGGAAGATCATCTATGTTTGAAATGATTGAAAGTGCAGAAGGTTGTGAACGGACATGATCATCAACACCACACAGCATGGACTTTGAGAAGTAAAATTAGTTTTCTCTATGGTCTTAAACTCCATCTAGCCATTTTTGATTCATTGTCCTCTTGTAAAATATAAATATAAAATATAAATTTTCCTTTTCAACAATTTTTATATCCTGTCATTCATTATCCTGTTGTGCGTCACATAGGGCTCGCAGTCCATTTCTCCTTCTGTCCTATTCTGTGCAATCAGTTTAATATCATGGATGGAATCCAGTCCAGCACCTTTGGTCTCTCTCATCGATGTTCATCTTAGGGTTTCTTTTGGGCGTCCCAACTTCCCTAATCTATTTATTTCCCATTTTGATGCCTGTTTATGATTATCTGCTTGTATCTTTTTAGGATATCCTGCCAATGCTTCCTAAAGATCTTTTAGCGCAGTGGTTCTCAACCCTCCTAAAGCTACAACCCTTTAATACAGTTCCTTTTGTTGTGGCAACCCTAAAACATACAATTATTTTTGTTACTTCTTCATAACTTCAATGAATATGTGTTTTCTGATGGTCTTAGCTGACCCTCTGAAATTGTCATTCGACCCAAAAAAGGGTCGCCTACCACTGTTTTAGAGTATCAGTGTCAGTGGTACTTATAATGTTGTTAATGATAGTTTTGTTTAAAAAAAAATAAAAAAAAAGGCTTCTGCCATGTGATACTAGACTCATGTTTCTTCTATAGACCAGTCAGGACTGTGTGATATCATGCCAGCCACCTTTACTTCCCAGGCCATTCCAGCTATCCATTTTAAGCTGGGTCGACTTGGGAGCCAAGGTCAGTTTTGAAACAAATTCTATGGCAAAGTGGATTTACACCCAAGACCTACAGGTCAGCAAGCAAGCATTAAGCCACTACACTTTCATAATTATGTAGTTTACAATAATTGTTTCAATCTATTTTGCATATCATCATAAACACACCCTGATTAAATGGTACATGTATTTTACCTTGTATAGAGCTTTCAATACTTGATTATTATCCTTCAGCTTTCTGGTTCCCTCACTGCTTCCCAAGCAGCCTCCAGAGTACCAGGTGGATGCGGACAAGGACGCATGTAAAGCTGCCCGCCTCTATTGTCTACCAGCTGTTCCACCAGCTTTATGGAGCAACCTGATATCCCAGCTGATCTTAGCTTTTAACCGTTATTCAGCCTCCAGATGGAGTCTTGGGGAACAGAAGTCTCAAGCTAGCAGAACAAACTCTAACAGCAGGTCTTTTATGACCAGTGGTCAACCCAGGTATGCATGAACTATCCACCAACATTTCAAGTGTATCCACAAACTATCAACTTCATCTGCCTAAATTGCTCATGCTTTTTATATTATAAACTGTATTTCCTGTTATGTTTATAAGTCTTTTTCCATTTTTTTAATGGTTTTGTTTCTTATTCTGTTGCCTTAACTCTTTCAGGCCCAAGCAACGCTGTGTATGTTGCTGAGAAGTTCCGATTCGACCAAACCACACTGCACCTATAGTGTGTCCCCATATTGTTTCGCATACTTCTCTATATTCGCTTTTAATTTTCGGAACTACTATTAAAATATTCAGGGAAGGTTACTCTAACATTTTTAGTTTTGTTTATAAGTGTTTTTGTATACATTTAAGCGCATATTTACCCGATCCATTGCTAGCGTCATGTTCAGACTGAATTTTCGGATTTCATCTTCAACTGGCCATGGACACCAATGTTCATTACACAAGCACAGGCCACACAATGCGCCTTTCTGCAGCTGAAGCTCTGAAATTGTTTCAGTCAGATGTTTTGAATTTTGATAATAACTTTAATTTTTCAGAAAGTGACTTGGACGGTGAATTTGCACCAGCGGCAGCTGAGCGGTCAGCTGTTCGAGAATCTATCAGTTCTGATTAGTTACACACAAGAGGACTCATTTCATTTCCGAAAGATGAAGTCACCCACATTTGCATCCAGATGACTGTTTCAAACAGTACCATACTATGGCAAAGCTGCATTGAATACATTGCAGCTACAGTCTGTACATTACTGTACAAAGAAAATATTTTGTGCATAATGGTCCATTTTATTGCCATTTTTTTTTTTGAAATTTTGTTCAGCAATTTATGAGAACCTAAAGCCTCTAGGTGTTAAACAAACCAGAAACTTATAATCTTTTAATAATTTTTTTTTTAAATTTTGTCTTGTAAACATAACACCTGCTGAATTATTTTTTTCTATTAACTATAACATCATTAAACAAAAACATAGTATGAGATTCAAAATGTACATTCATTCCTTCTAAAAAAACAAATTCTTTTGTGAAGATTAAAAGTATATTACATTCTCATTTGCCTGTTGTTGTTTTTTTAACACCACCCGCTCTGCCCGTTTTGTAAAAAGAAAAATATGCAAACCAAATCTGTCAAAATTCATGGGCCTGAAAGTGTTAACGCAAACTAAATCTGTTTAAATTTATGGGCCTGAAAGTGTTAATGCAAACCAAATCTGTCAAAATTCATGGGCGTGAAAGTGTTAATGCAAACCAAATCTGTTAAAATTTATGGGCCTAAAAGTGTTAATGCAAACCAAATCTGTTAAAATTCAATGGCCTGAAAGTGTTAATGCAAACCAAATCTGTTTAAACTCATGGGCCTGAAAGTGTTAATGCAAACCAGAACTGTTAAAATTCATGGGCCTGAAAATTGTAATGCAAACAAATCTGTTAAAATTCATGGGCCTAAAAGGGGTAATGCAAACCAAATCTGTTAAAATTCATGGGCCTGAAAGTGTTAATGCAAACCAAATCTGTCAAAATTCATGGGCCTGAAAGCGTTATTATTATTTTCTACATTGTCATTTTGCAGCTTGCGAGGACTCCACATCAGTAACAAGAATATTCAGTACTGGAGAACAATGATCATGATGTACTACGATCAGGGCCACGTGGTTGTGGAGGAAGTTGAGTGCAAGTCCAGGTCAGACACATTACTTTCAGTGCTGCTGTATGTATGTATGTATGTATGAAGTTAGTAATTTCTTGAAACATTCCAGAAAATTTAGATTTCTTTCTTAACTTTACGAACAATTCTTTTGTTGCTGCAAAATGTATGTATGATGAAGTCAGTAATTTCTTGAAACATTCCAGAAATTTTTTTTTTTTTTAACTTTACGGACAATTCTTATGGTGCTGCAGAATGTTTGTATGAATAATCAGTAATTTCTTAAAACATTCCAGAAAATGTAGATTTTTGTTTTTCTTAACTTTGCAGACAATTCTTTCGGTGCTGTAGAATATTTGTGTGAAATCAGTAATTTCTTGAAACATTCCAGAAAATTTAGATTTATTTCTTAACTTTACAGACAATTCATTTGGTGCTACAGAATGTATGTACGAAGTCAGTAATTTCTTGAAACATTCCAGAAAATTTAGATTTATTTCTTAACTTTACAGACAATTCGTTTGGTGCTACAGAATGTATGTACGAAGTCAGTAATTTCTTGAAACATTCCAGAAAATTTAGATTTCTTTCTTCACTTTGCAGACAATTCTTTCGGTTTTGCAGAATGTGTTCATGAAGTCACTTGTTTATAAGAAACATTCAGCATGTCATAATTACTGATTGTTGATTAAGAATCAACATTACAGCACACCGGGCATACCCATCGATGCTCCTTCTCTGGCAGCTAATGTATTAATATGCTGTTTCTTCCAATGGTTCACTGGTTAGAGACACATCATACTCTTTGTCTCATGTGTCCTTCCTTGCCGGATCCACACTTGATTCCAAATTCACATATTCCTACACATGTTAATTTATCTAACATCCTATTTTCTGTCAGCATCGTTCAAAAATGATTTTTTTAAAAGTCTTCCTCTCCCAAAATTAGAATTCCTGTAGCTTTTGCTTTTGTGGCCAAAAAAATCTGCTCTTTTATTTCTGCACACTCCTGCATATTTCTGACAGTATATCCATGGGTGTCCCTGTAAAAGTGACGTGTTGATGCGTTTTCATTCCAGTCATCCATTTTGAAGCTTCCACATTACTGATTGAGAATCAAACACTAATTCCCCATGGTAACTCTTTTTTTCAACTATCCCCTTAAGAACTGCTTTGATTGCCTCCACCTCCATCTTCTTGCTTGAAATTGTAGATTAAAATGTGCTTAGAATGAGTTCTGCCATAAGCTTTTCCTTTACTCTAACTGAAAAACCCTAGCCAGATTTTTCACCTCTAAGAAAAAAACCATCTGTGCACACTATTGCATCTTGCAGCTTGGTGTTTTCATCTGTCAGTCATTGAAATGGCATAGCAAGACAGTGAATGAATGTGTGTTTCCTTAGGATATAATGAGTTAAAGTAACATCTATCTGAGACTAATAGAGTTAACATATTAAGTAACTTTCATTTTCAAAGCAGTATTACATTTGTCTGCATCAGTTCTGAAGCCTCAGCACCAGGAATTTTGGTAACAGTACAGACAACAGGGAGTGGAAAAGCTGATGATCTGTGTGAACAGAGTCCAAATAGAAATGAAAAGAAACTTTCCATATTGGGGATAGTATTAGATGAACTGGAGGAGATTCTGGAGCGTTTTAACCCAAGTAGGTTGCCTGATTGGTTTATTGGACATTGTATGCCAATTATGATGATCTTCTTTGCATGCCAGGATGTTAATATTATCATCATGATATTTACATCTGTTTATCCAGTAAGTTAATTTTATAGACCAACTGGGAAATAACACCGGCCACCTAATTTCATAGACCAATTGGCACATCACACTGGTCACCTTTACTTTCCTCTACTACATGATGATCTGTTAATGAGATCTTCCTGCCTCTATTCTGTTTATCCAGTAAGTTTCATAAAAATATAAAGGATGCTTTTCACACCAGCAAAACTTCTGGCATTTCTATAGACCAATGGCACATTACACTCACCACATTTACTTCCCCACTTGATTTCCTGGTGCCCATTTTGTTTTGGATGGACATAAAAGCCAAATTCAGTTATATTTTGGATTAAAACTCGAGCCTAGTGTAAATCATAGCACAATGTGCCAACCACCATTTTGAGAGCAGCTGCAGAAAAAGAGGAAGAAGATTACCTGTTACTTTGTTTTTCAATGTGCATTGATGAGAAAGAGTTTCTGTAAAGGATCATGTTAAATGATGATGATGATAAATTCCTTGCTGATGATTATCCTGTGAGCTTTGACCGTATGTTTGAGGTTTGACGGATAACATCACAGCACACAGGTAGTAGCCCATAAGTTTTCCCTTCTTCTTCTACCTCAAGTTTGAGCCAGAAGAAGCTCGGCACAGGGCACAGGCTCGTAGACCAGCTCCGTATCCTGCAAATACTTGGATTTTATAACTCCATTGCAAAACACTCCTGTTTTTTGCAGTTACCTTCAAGGGATTTTTTACATGTCAACAGGTCACACAAGTGTTGATGGCACTATAAAGTGGCTCATGAGATATGGCAGATTCTGCATTAGTTGCAGATAGCCAGCCTATGGATCACTGACATTATTAATGCCCTTAGAGAGATAGGACATTCCAAGGATTTTGGAAGCAGTGTCCACATCACTGTCAAGAATGTGAGAACTAGGAGTAAAGATCAGCACAGCCAAGCATGTGAGGCACATTGGACACAAAAGTGGTCTTGCTAACCAGCATAGAACCAATACTGTTAAGCCTGTGACACTCATGAATATGTTGAAGGGGGAATCTGAGCACCTATGGATGTGTCTGGAGTGCTGTGAAGATAATCCAGTTCATAACTCATAGCTCAGATCAGTTGGCACATCACACTGGTCACCTAATTTCATAGACCAATTGGCACATCACACTAGCCACCTTTACTTCCCTCTACTATGTGATGATCTTCTTTTGCGTGACCGGATGTTTATAAGATCTTCCAGTAAGTTTAATAAACAATATAAAGGATTCTTTTTACACCAGCAAAACTTCTGGCTTATAAAGCCAGACTTAATTTCTAAAGCCTGACCACCTTTACTTCCCAACTTTATTTCCTGGTGCCCATTTTATTTTGGATCGACATGAAAGCCAAAGTCAGTTAAATGAATTCTTACCAATTGTGGATTCAAACTCGAGCCTAGTGTAAATCACAGCACGATGTGCCAACCACCATTTTGAGAGCTACTGCAGAAGAAGAGAAAGAAGATTCTCTATCACTTTGTTTTTCAGTGTGCAGCGATGAGAAAGAGTTTCTGTAAAGGATCATGTTAAATGAGGGTGATGATAAATTCCTTGCCGGTGATTATCTTGTGAGCTTTGATCATGTCTTGTATATTATTTCCAGAATTCCGAGACCTGTATGATGCCAACTTGAGCGAGGTCTATGCTATCTGTCCACGCTGTTATGACATCAAGCCTGGCTTAGGTAGTATCAGTCTCAGCGGCATTCACTTCACAGTTAAAGATTGTGCTCAGGTGATTCTTATATCATAGCATTATTTGTTTATATGTATGTGTCTGTCCGCGCTTTGTTTTTATTCATCATCATCATCAATTTCCAGTTTTGCCATTGAGCATTATTGAGAAGGAAGTTTGCAGTCAATTGCTTGATGGGTAAGGAGGATGGTTCCTTGATACCTGTCCTCATTTCCTGGATTTATTTATTTCCTTTTATTTGGTGATTCTCTTTTCTGTTGTTCTCAGACAATGCTTAGTATATTTCCATCATTTTTTTATTTTAATTTTTTTTACTGTTGATAACAGTAGGGTCATGGAGGTGTATTGATAAAAGCACTAGCACACAAAAAACCCGCCATCTTTCTCTGTCTTTCGCTTGATGTATTAGTGTATAACATAGTCCTGTCCATTTTTGTGTTGTCATTCCAGTTTCTACTTTGCCCTCCTCTTCTTCGACTACCCACCAATGTTCCTTGAAGTACAGTCTTTGCAATCGAATCATGACTCACCACATGCCTGAACCAAGCTAGCTTGCAACGTTTCACCACTGTCAAGAGAGGCTCCTGATATCCTGTAGATTTGTATATTTTGTCTCTGACATATTTGTTTATACAAGCGGTTGTCTAGATATTTGTCTTGTTTCTTCGCCTCTCCTGAATTCATCCCATTTAATGTTCATCAGTTTCTTTATGCATTTTTTTTTGAATGCATGTAATTTTAGTCCTGTGCCTTTAGTTGCTCTCCAGCTATCAATGACATATGTTAAAATTAAAATAACATTATAATTGAAAATACATAACTTGATTTTCAAACTATCTAATTTAAGAGTTCCGTATTTTACATTTGATCTTATAACTTATATACAATCTCTATATTTGATTTAGATGCTTCTATCAGTAAATGCAGTCGTGTGCCAAAGTGGCCCATCCTCTTTAAGTTGTCTTGTGCCAGAATTAATGTTCATGGAGCTGCCATCAAAAATGCATTTGTCACCAAATGATCTTATTTTGACTGACGTTAAACTGGGTCGTGGAATGACAGGAGATGTAAGAAAGGTAATTGGATTCAATCAAATCCCTTCAACAGTTAGTAAAAGGTTTAGTAGTGTAATATCAAACACAGGGACGAAAGGTGTCATAGGGCTGACCATGTGGTTAAGTGCATTGGCTTCTCTTCTGGGAGACCCACAGGCTTGAATCCTCAGTAAGGTAATGGATTTTTCCTGTCGGGGGCAAAAATAAAATTTTGACCTGTGTAGTTTATAGTGACTGTCTGAATGAAGCTAGTAGATAAAGAAAACAAACAGTCTGACCCCATCGCCCTTGTGTCTTTAATGCTAGAGACCATTGATTTTCACTCTGAAGAATGGATACATGTTATACTGATGGATCTGCATTTAAAGCTACCATTAAAGCAGGTTATGGAATCTATGTAGGTTATTCCGATGGATCTGTTGAAGAGGTTTTTGATGCATGCGAGGAATTCTGCTCAAATTATGAAGCCAAAATAATTGCACTGGAAACAGCAGTATACCACCTAAAGACTGTAATGGATGTTTACCCTTCATAGGCCCAAAATATTGTAATCTTCACTGATTCAATGCCCTTCAGGCTCTGGAGGGCAGTGAACACTGCAGAACTGACATAGCCAAGATAATTCTGGATGCTGATCAGCTCATTACCTCATACAACATCAGAATAGTGATGCAATGTAATTCCAGGCCACTCCGGCACACCAGGTAATGACAGAGCTGACAGACTGGCAAAGAAAGGAGCAACACAAGAACCACCACCTACAGCGACAACCCTACAGACAGCAAAAACACTTATAAGAGCTATAAACAACGAGACTTGGTTGAGAAGCACCTCTCATCTTCCGCTCGATCGCTAACTTTCCATTCGTGGCCCGATTCTCGATAACTGATACTTGACACTGATTCACTTGACATTCAGCTGAGTCAGTCTTGACTGGTTATTGTACATTCGGCGTTGTGGGTGGAGTTTTAGCAGCCCGTTGTTCACACCATATACAAACGATTGTCTCGTGAACTGTTGAGAAAGCACACTTGGTGTCCTTCTCAGGACCCTCAACAAGTCTTGCCGAGTCTTCAGGGATCGAGCTTTCGACAGCAACCCGATCAGTGCCGCTTTACAAGTCATAGCCACATCAATCATAGCCCGTGGCAAGAAGAATCCGATCCAGCGCAGAGACACCAGGTCTACCTCAGCCAAAAAGGAGGAAGCACCTGTCGTCGCACCAGCCCCAATGGTGCAGACGATGCCAGAACCGATTGACGATCCTGAAGAGACGCCAGCCTCGTGCACCCAGTTGCCGCCAGCCCTGGATGTAGCCCCTATCAAGGCACCAGTGTACTTAAAAGTCGCCCAAGTCGTGGCGCAGGAACCCACCAACACCCGCCCACTCAGGCAGCAGCAACAGCGACCGGGAGCCAACATTACAGAAGTTTTGCAGTGCTCACGCTGTAACAAGTTGTGGCACTCTGCCTCGTCATGCCGCAGCAGCCTGTTGTGCTGTTACTGTTCCGGCCCACATTTCTTCAAGAAATGCCCTCTAGCGAAAGTGGATCCGGACTTTAAGAAGCCAAACTCAAACAGAAAGTGCTGTAATTGCTCCGGTGCACACAGTGCCAGGTACATGGGTTGCCCATATCTAAAGGAGATCAAGAAGGTATTAACAACCAGTGTCGCCTCAACGATTGCTCCTAACCCAGAAGCAAAGAACAGGAACGAGATGTCCAGAATTACCAATCAACACATCGCTGCAACAGATACGACAAAGCTTCAAAATGAAATAACACAATTGAAAGCAGAAATTAAATCACTCAGAAGAGACAAGGCAGCATCTGAAGTGATCGAGCCAAGGACAGAGATGAGATGACAGGATTGCGTAGCCTGATTCAAGAGACACTCAAAATCCAGAAACGCATGAAAGCCGAAGTTGCTGACATGACCCAGTTCAAATCAGACATCAAGGCTGTGCTGTCCTGTATATAGTCCCAGAAAGAGAAGTCAGCCGAGGAAGAAAAAAGCAGACTCGAAGAAACGATGAAAAGCCAGCAGGAGCTCATGGCGAAAGTGAGAAATTTAGAGGTGACTAACGAGGGGCTGCGACTTGAAGTGACTGAAACGAGAAACATATGCGAGGAGAGAGAGAAGGCCCGAAAGGAGACTTTCAGGCAGGCTCAAATCAAAGCGGAGAGTGATCTTGTCATTCAGCGGAGACGTCGCAAGGAAATATGGTACCAAAAGCGAGATGCAAGCATAAAAGAATGGAAAAAAGTCCTACGAAAAACCAAGGCACAACCATTGAAGAACAGAGAATCCTCCACCCAGACACCCCATTGATGAGGAGTGTCCCGAAAGCCTGAAGTCACTAATCAAAAAATCTCCAGCGACCCCGGCCACCCCCAAACCGCTGATTTCATCTACCCCTACCCCATCCAAGCCACAGGGGACAACCATAGCCTAGAAGAACCCACAAGCAGACAGAAGAAAAAGACACAGCTACCTAACAAACCCTTAACAGCAAGCCAGATAGACATGCCCGACTTCTAGCCACCATCTTGAAGGAACAGTATCCGCCATGATGGCAGCCCACTGAACCGCAAACACCCCAAGTCCGAAGCCAGCCGACATGTTGATCCACCACCAGACCACTCCCGCCCACCCGATCCAGGCCGTCCTAGGCACCACCTAATTGTCCTTTTCAAGACTTTTAGAATTTCCCCTCCCAAACAGCCAGTGCAGCAGAAATCACTAACAAAGAATGGTCAGGCGTACCAACAACTCAAAACCGCTCACATACAACGGACTCAATAAAGAAGGCCCTCAGGTCTTTTTGAAGAGTGCCAGTTCATTATTTTTTTTTTTCAATATCAAGTCTTGGTTGAACAGTTGGGCCATGGGAGATACTAGAATAGAGGTTTATAGACATATGGCTGGCCCTGATCCTGATGACAGCATTAACCATCGAACAAGAAGATACCAGGCCACCATCTTCAGACTCAGAACAAAACATACTCCACTCAGTGGACATCTAAACAGAATACAGCTACAACCCTCCCCAGAGTACCAGCTCTATAACCCCCTACGACATTGTTGAACACCATCTCTTTGAGTGCCCAAAACTCAGCAAGACTAGAAGAATGCTCCTCCCTCCGAGACCAGACAAGTGGAACACCTTGTACGGAGGAAAAGAACAGCTTGTGAAAACATGCAAATTCCACTACATGGCATTGGGCCTGAGGGCAAAAGCTCATGCACCGCTGGATTGATAACAACAACAACAACAACAATAGTGACTGCCCTAGCCATGCAACCCTATATCCTCAGTCTCAAGACTCCCCCCCTCTCCGCCTGTCTTTACCATCCTTAAAAATGGTTAATCTTCTTCTGCCTTCTAACCTCCCTACCACCCCACCCCAAAGCATAGATCCCCAAACAACTCACGCCAAGCCTTTCTATCCTCCACTTTTGTATGCAGCTTACCCCATGTCCTCCTTATCTTTTTAACTCTCTAGCTCCCTCCTCCATGTGTTTTTAAAAATTTTAGTCTGTTTTTTTTTTCTGTGCCCCTGTGGATTTCAGTGCAAAGACATTCTAGTTTTATTGTTCTCAGGTTTTCTCAACATGGGTCCTATCCAGCGCCTGCGTCTTTTCTTCACCTCCTGGTCCACTGGAACTGTTGTACTTCACAAAGTTAAACATAGTGATTCTATCATACCATTTAATTCCCTCTATTCTGCCAGTTACTGAATGTTGATAATTTATTATTAACTGTTTTAGTTGTTCTCCATGTTTCCGCTCCATACAGCAATACTGATTTGACATTATAAATTTTTATTTTTTATTTTTATTGGTTTTAAGTTTTTTTGTGCGTTGTTGTTGTAAAAAAAAAATTAAAGTTAAAGACCCTTTTCCACACCTTTAGGTGTATAGAGCATATAGGGCTAGACCTATATTTTTTATAGACCAATCGGCACAGGAGGTTGATGTGGTCAGCATCACGCCAGTCGTCTTTACTTCCCGGGACTGCATTCGGTACCCACTTAAAGCTGGGTCGACCTGGGAGCCAAGTTCATTTTTGAAAAATGTCCGGCTCCACCAGGGAGCGAACCCACGACCTTCCGATCTGTGGCGAGTGTCTAGCCGCTCAGCCACGGCGACTCCCATTTTTGTTGTTGTTGTTAGCTCCTCTTATCTTTTGTATTCATATTTTAACATTAGTCAGTTACTAGAACCAAGTAATGACTATGAATCTGCAACAATGACCAGACTGCAAGAACAAAATTTTAAAAGGAATGTGGCCAGACAAAAGCACTATGCAGGAAGCCAAAGAAGAATAAGAAATCATCATATAACTAGTATCATAAACCGCTACACACTGCAGGATTTACTAAGGAGAGGATTAGAGCACTTATGAACTGAATGGTTCAATGTTCACTGAGAATAATCTGTCCACACTAACTAACTAACTAACATTACTGCCCACAAAGTAAAGTGTCTGAGAAAAAGAAGAAAAAAAGACGTTCTATTCAGTTTTAAGCATTCTACTGCAGTCATTATTGTGTTTATGGAATTTAGTAGGGTAGGAAAGTTTTCAAAATTTGTAGAAAAACACCTACTGCTGTTGTATCAACAACAGCAACAACAACAAAGCACTGCTGTTATATCACCAGCAATAATGAAACTACTGTTATATCAATTTCTTTTTCCTAAAGGGAGTCTATAGGGGCACTGATGTTGCCGTGAAAGTCTTCTATAACCCAGATGAAAGACCTTTTGTGCCAAATAATCCCAGTATCAAATACAACAATGTAGCAGATGCAGCTACAGAATTCAAAGCCAAACAGTATGAAATTAACACAGAACAGATCAAGGTGAGAGTCATTTATTTATCATCCTCTTCCTGTTGACCATTACATATCATTTGATAGTATGAAAGGAATCCAGTCAAGCACCTTTAACCTTTCTTGCCATTTTTGTTTGTGTGGCTTCTCTTGTACTTTCTTATTTCATAAATTCATTTATTTTGCACTTCAGTGCCTGTTTGGGGATTTTCTGCTCACTTCTCAAGGTGTCCCCAATATAATGCCATCTTTGTTGTCTTAGCTGTTAGGACTTCTGGTAAAATATGGCAGACAGACAAGACATTCAGTTTAGCTTCGAAGGTATTTTTGCTTCTTTCAGTGGTTTGCTTGTACTGTTTCTCCATATAGACTGAGGTCTATACAGTTTCACTGCTTAAGCTACTGAGTCAAGTGCTTGGTGCATCACTGTGAGCTGTGTACTTCGTGGGGAATGCCTTTTCATTTTTACCCACAGTGGTTCTATTGTGATATTGACAAAATTATGGGTAGCTAGTTTACATTTGGGCTTGCAGAAAATAGAACAAAGAAGAAACAACACACCCATTCATTGTCATTACCAGAAATCAAAACACTCATTAAGGGAAACTACAAGGAATTATGGAGAGAACAAAATAAAGGTAGACATCCACAAGACTCCATCAGCAGACTCAACAGAAAACAATATACACAAATTTTCCATCTACGAATAGAGCACTGCAGGCTAAACTACCACATGCATAAAATAAAGACTGTACAGTCCCCACAGTGTGCCTGTCAGACAGGACCACAAACACCTGAGCACATTCTGCAGACCTGCCCGCCCCACTACAACTTCAAAAAGACACATGGCCCCAAGAGCACAGAGTGCAGAGCAAGCCTTGGGGAAACCATGAAGGACCTGCTACTGGCATGCGAATTCATAGAAGCAACGCACCTGATGGTCTGATCTGTGCATATGAAACCAAACGCAAAGGAGAAGAAGAAGAAGAACATTTAGGCTGAAAAAATACCATAACCAATAATTGTACAGATGTTCAACAAACTGATTAATTGACTGCTTACTTCCATCAGCAGTAAATTGCAATTCTGGTGGTGACTGTTAATGTTGCCATCTCTAACAGTAGCTCTAGCATTCTTTTCCAACATTTTCCCAAATTATTCCAATGATTTCTGTTTTGCATTAAGCACTGTATTTTTGGTCTATGTTCTAAATGCCACATATTAGCCTAAAACCACTTGGAGACATATTCAGGAGGCGATCAGAGCACTTATGGTCATGTGCGCTGAAGATAATCTCAAAAATGAACAATGTCTTAGACTCATATTTATTATATACCAGTCAGTACTTGATGGGCAATGTGACTTTCATCACATTTTTTTTTTTTTAATCTTTCTTTAGATTGATTTTATGACATAGGAAATGAGGTCTCTGTGGCAAAGTAGGCAAGGCATTTGTGTCAGCCTCTGAAGGTCATGGGTTAATTTCACGGCTGCGTCGTTCTGTTCATTAGTAGGGCTTCAAATAAAGAAAAATTTCATCCTAAAAAGGACGAGAAAATATTAGTTTATATACCAGAGCCATATGGGTTACAACCTGGTACAATGAAGTTGATCTCTTGACTTTAACTTTTAACATAGACATTGTAATTTTAAAAAAAACTGTTGCATTGCTGAAATGATTACTTATCAAAATTGTTCCCAGATTAGCAATGCATTTACTGATGTTCGGCGAGAAGTTGGAATCCTCAGTAAGCTCAGCCATGAATTCATTGTAACTTTCATTGGCTTGTGCATCAGGCCGCAGCTATTGCTGGCAATGGAGTTGGCTCCCTTTGGTAGTCTGAGAACACAGCTGGATAAGAAAGTTCCAGCTGGGCTTCGTGAAATACAGCACATGGACAAAGTCATTTCACAGTCAGTTTTCAGCAAAGATCTGACTTATAAGATTATTCTTCAGGTTGGTGTTGTTATTGGATAGCATTGATCTATAGAAAACTTTCAACGCATTATATTTGTTTGTAAACAACTTTTCCAACTGATGAAATCATTCTATGGACAACTCAGTAGTTGATTTAGTAATTATATAGAAAACTGCACCAATTTTTTAAATTATTCCACTGACACTTTCTGTTAATTTACTCCAAGAGGCTTGAAGTGAAAACCCTAAACTCTGCTCTTCTTTAGTACATGTCAAAAGGTGGGGTGGGAGGAGGCATCTTTAAATAAATTGTCATTATGATGTCACCATGTTTATCTGCACTGTTTTGTCATGGGCTCTTGACATGCTTAACAACAATATTGACCAGTTACAACATAACAGCATGGTTATTGCAATTTCTATCACATTTATTTATTTGTTCTTTTAACGTTTCATTTGAAGCCTCCTCATAGTGTTAGTATAAAATGGAAACTGCTAAGATGTGGTTTAATAGAAGAAATGAGAGCACCACAGACTGACAGTGCAATTAAAATGTTTAACAAAAAGAATCTCTAGGCATGTCATTAGAAGGTAAAATGAGTACATTATGTTGGAAGTAGTTGAGAGCAAAAGGAGCCTGCAAAGACAAAAAGAAATGTTAAGCAATCTGGTATCATAGTACGGAGGAACATCTCTGTCAGAAAATCATTACTAGTATTTCAGACAAAAAGCTTTAGATGACTAGTGTCTCCCAGTATTGAATTATGAGAATAAAAAAGGTGAGTTTTTGCCAGTCTTAGCCTTAATTTGTGTCCATATCGCTTAAAAGAGGTTAATCTAACATCTGGTTTGCTATGCGACTGAATTACTGTGTCCACAAATTTTGTTTTTCTGAAGTGTGTCACTAACATGAACGGTTTAGAAAGCTCTTCTATAAAACTGTTGAAACAATATGAAATTCAGTTCTTTTAGATACAGTTCTTCATCCCCATCTCTTTCTGGACATTACTTAGTGATTTGTTTAGCAGATAATTAGTCACTTTTTATGACTTGCTTGTTAAGGGGCAGTAGATCTGTTCTTCCCCCTCCCCATCCTTCCCCCAAATGGGGCTTCTAGAACTCACATAGAGTGTCCAAAGTATGTCTTCTTCTTTGTGTTCACCAATTGAAAATTCTGGCACCCCCGTGTGGGTTCCGGGGCCCCATTGTGGGTTCCGGGGCCCCATTGTGGGGAAAACAAGAATAGACCCACTGCCTCCCCAAAAGCATGTCGTAAGAGTCGACTAATTGGGGAGCTTCCTTTGAAGTCGTAGTGCATCTGCCGAAGAGGCAAGGAACCAACAGTCTGTATTCAAGAGAATGAGATCTGTAAAACTGATGCACACGCAACACTTAGGTTCTGGAGCAGGACTGCAGTTCAGTAGTGGACGAGCAACCAGAACTTTCCTCCAGAGTGTACAGCTGGTAAGAAATTGCCGGCAGAAAGTTCTGGTTGTTCATCCACTTCTCGACTTTAGTCTTGTTCCAGAACTTGAGTTTTGTGTGCACATAACGCAAAGAAGAAGAAGAAGAAGAAATTGCCGGCAGAAAGTTCTGGTTGTTCATCCACTTCTCGACTTTAGTCTTGTTCCAGAACTTGAGTTTTGTGTGCACATCCATTTTTCAGATCTGGCTTATTTGTATGCAGACTGTTTCTTCCTTGCCTCTTAGGAAGTTGCACTCTGACTCTGATTTGTTGACTTGTTAGGGAAGCAGTAGATCTTGGTAATCTTAGTTTTTCAGCTTCATAGCAAATGAGTCACCCCATAGTTGCTCCACTCCTGTGCCAAGGAAAAACACACACAGAATGTTCATCACAGTCCCTTGTGGAAACATTCACAGACTGTTGTTTCAGCATATGCACTAAGCATACACACACAATAAAAGCATACGGTAGCCATCAGAAGTGCTGAGACAGACAGTCTGATTTCAGAAATGCCGTTCCATCATTGATGGTAGCAGAAGTTACCAACATTTCAACAGTTGCACATGCGATTAATTTTAATCACATAAGGGCACCACCAATATTGCGACGACAGGCCAGGCACCATTTTCTGAATCTACAATTCACAACACCACTTTAATCACATTTGAAAAAAATTTCAAATGAAATTTACAGCTCACAGTGTTGCGTCATGCGCTCAACTCAGAAGCTTGGCGATGAAACTATATCCTTTCAGTCTACAAATGGAGCAAAAATGCAGCGGTCACCGTCTGGAAGAAGCAAACAATTTGTCGTGTGACCGCGCCTAGTGTCCATTTTGACCCTTAGATCTATTTTTACCCTCGCTCTCTTTATCTAAGGGGCTTATGTATATGAGTTTTCTCTTTTTCTCATCTTTTGTGTAAATGTTTTTTTTTTTTAACTTGTTCATCCATGTAGATTGGAAGTGGCTTGTGTTACCTGCATAAAAACAGCATTATCTATCGGGACCTGAAGCCAGACAACATCCTTGTGATGTCCCTTTCAGTTGAAGATCGTGTCAATGTGAAACTGTCAGACTACGGCATTTCCAAGTTTAAAACCCTCACTGGTGTCACTGGGGTGTTTGGAACTGTGGGATATATGGCTCCTGAAATGTTGCTGAAGCGACCATACACAGAAAAGGTAAATGGAATTTTTAAGGTAAATCTTTATCTTCTTTTGACGTCTCACTGATACCAGGTTGTAGCCCAGTGTCGTTTGTCTTGCGCTTATCAAATGGCTTGGGTGATGGATTTGTTCATCTTTTTGTTGCAGGTTTCAGCTACACCATTTATCCATTCCTTTCTTGGGCTTCCCCTCACCTTCTTCCCACATGCTGTGCTTTGAAAAAAAAACTTTAAAAAAAAAATCTCTTATGTAGTTTGGTCTGGCTGCATTCTTACTAGATGGCTAAACCAATTCATTCTTTGTCTGTCAATATAATTTGGTCATGTGTCTTTTGCCAACTTTCTCTCTGATGCTGGTATTCGTAACCCTGTTCCTTTTTGTGTTGCTAGTGACCTTATGAAGACAGCGCAATAAATAGTTAAGTAAATAATGGTACATATATTTTAGATGGTAAAGTTCTTTTTAATTAATGAAAGATCAAACAGATCCCTGTGGTCTGGAGAAAACAAAAGATTTCAAAGAGGGTGTCAGCAATCAGAAGAAAGGCAAGATGGACATAAAATCTGACTGCAACCGGAAACCATTAGTATTGGAGTTTTACGTCGGATTCTGAAGGTGGAGAGGGAGCGCTTATGATAATATCTTGATCTTGGTTATTAACTCAACACAACTTTACTGCCATCGATCGGTTTGTCCCCTCCTGGCTGCTACCTAAAGATGAATAAGCTCAATCTGGATGGCAGAATAATGCGGCAGATTAGCTGAAAAATTATTGGGCAATGGGTTTTCACTATTCAAGTCTTTACATCCATACGTACAGTCTTGGTTGTTGTTTTTTTTTTATATTGAATTGGGTACTCTCAACTAAACCCTTATCAAGATCATTACGTGGTCAGTATCATGTCAGCTGGCTGCACTTCCCAAAATATTTCCCACACCAATTTTAGGTCATTGATATCAGATGGAAACACCAACACAAGAGTATGTAAGTACTAAAGTCCACTGACATCTCAAAAAGGACATTGAGCGTTTGCCCATACTGTATCGCTACAGAAAACACAATGAGATATAAACGGACTCCCTCGACGCCCAGCGGTAAAAGAGGAAGTGAAGAAGAAGAAGCCCATACTGTTTATACTGGATGGCAAACATTTAATTTGGTCAGTATTATACAGGTGATACAGTTAAACAGAAAAACCCAAAAATATACAGCATTTCTTGGTATAAAAACCATTGGTACAACTCACAAAAGTCACCCCATCTAGTCAGCGTCATGATTTCATAATGGATTTCCCGGGACACTCCTATAGTCTATGGGTGTCATGTATTCCTAATTTTGACTGTTTCAAGTACACCACCGAAGACAACCACCGTCAACAAGCGTAAAAATACAAAACCATCAATGATTCAATATTCACAAAACATCGTGCCTTCAGCGCTTTCCCCTGCATTTCTTCTTCCTTGTACACAGTCCACTTTGGTGCTTAAGACCTAATCACAACAACACATTAGAGAAACGTCCATCATTCACAGAAATGATGGTTGCAAAATGAAAACTGCGCAGTTTTCTCTGGGAGACAGTATGTCAACTGTACTGAGCAAATGCAAGCCAGTTTAAAGTGTTATGTCTTTTAATATGACCGAGATACTTCAGTTCTCTTTTATCTTTCTTTTAGCAACTTTTTTCATTCCTAATATTTTCAGAACCCATGTTATTTGATTGCTTTTGTCGCCTGGAATAGACCCTTGCAGCTGTAATGATTTGGCGCTAGATTAAAGAAAATTCTCAGCTTGCTACTACACATAAGGCTCATGTAGTTGTTGGCACCTTTCCATCTTTATAGATCTTCTTCTTCTTTGTTCACTGGTTGTAAGCTCTGTGGAGAGTCCTGTTTTTTTTTTTTTTGCTTTGGACTTTAGCTTTGTGCCAGGGCTTGAGTTTTACATGTACATCTGTTAGGCTTATTTTTGTGCAGCTGATTGTTCCTTGCTACTTTGGCAGATGCAATCCAGCTTTAAAGGAAGTCCCCAATTAGTTGACTCCCTCAACACGCTTTTTGGGGAGGCATTGGGTATGTTCTTGTTTTCCCTACAATGGGGTCCCAAAACCCACACAGGGTATCTTTATAGATGATAATTTTCTATTGTGCTTGAGGCCGACATTGGAATCACAACCCATGGTGGTAATATAAACAATAAACATTAGTGGAATCATCATCAATATCATCATGTCCCAAATCATCATGTGTGATTGGGTCATCATTTGCTGTTGACTATCTGATCAGTTCCTCCATCTCTGTCAATCAAATGCAGTTGACTTGATGTTTGCATGTTTGAGACTTGCCCATTCACATTCTATATCCGGGTCTTTTTTGGTATGCCTCTTTTCCTCTTCTCCTCTAGAGAGCCCTGTTGTAATTAGTGGAAAGGAAAGCTTATATCTGTATGTATCACAGATAGTTAAAAACAATTATCTTATTCTCAGATATAAGTTATATTGGCTACAGCACCTTAGAATTATTTTTAGAAAACAAAACACTACCATATTTCTGGCAGTATTTATGCTAAATTCTTTATTCTCACTCTAGGCAGATATGTACTCATTTGCCGTAGTTATAGCTGAGATTCTGACAGGCATATCTCCAGTAGACTGCCAATTTTTGCCACGCTTGTCCTATGTTGATACCACTGGAGCCACACCTGGTCACCTTAAGGTAATTTATGTTTTTGTAACTCCTATTAAAGTGTCTTTTTCTTCTCCTCCTCCACTTCTTCTTCTGTCTTTGCCCTTAAAATGGCATGTGCACATTGTGTTGTTCTTTACAGCAAAGTTGCAATATCTTCTTCTTCTTCTTAATGCTCAATGCCTGTAAATTCCGGCAGACAGTTCTGGTTGTTTGTCCACTTCTGGACTTTGATCTTAATCCAGAACTTGAGGTTTGCATGCATATCTGTTTCACTGATCTGGTTTGTTTGTATGCAGACTGTTGGCTCCTTGCCTGTCAGCCATGTGCACAACCTCAAAGGAAACATTTTGATTGTTTAGGAAGCAGTGGATGTGCTTATTCCCCCTGCTATTTATTAATATAGATCGAATCAGAAAAGCATTCCAAATGCGTGAGGTCAATACATGTAATGAACTCATGTTTTTGCAGACGACCAAGTCCTCATGGTAAATGCAGGGGAAGAGCAGTAGAGAAATCTTAATAATCTCACCATAGCAGGGATATCATAAAACAGGAAAATTAACATAAAAAAACAGAAGTTATGACAATTGCAGGAACATAGCAACCAATCAAGATATGCATAGAAAACCAATAACTGAAGCGAGCAAAAGACTTCAAGTATCTATGGAACATAATGTCATCCAAAGGAAAAATGGAAGCAGAGATAGAACATGCATGTAATAAAGCTAATCAAATCATTGGACAGAAGTGACACGTTTTGCAGAACAAATATATAACAACTAACAACAAAAGAGCACTATTACAGTATAGTATTTTGACCAACATTTGTTACCAGTGTTAAATGGTGGCATTAACAACAACAAAAATAAAGAAACATCAAAACAACAAAAAGAAAGTATCTACAAATCCTAAATGTAACTAGAAGAGACAGGATAAGAAAGGATATCAAGAAAGAAGTTGTGATGGAACCAGTGTTTAGCTACATTAAGAGACAACAGATCAAATGGTTCAGGCATGTGTCAAGACTACCACGAGACAGTGCACCACAAAGAGTTCTGTCACTTAGACTTGTTGAAAGCAGACCTAGAGGTTGACCCCACAAGCAATGAATAGATGGAATGTCTGAGACCTTCAGTTCCTGCATCTATGTAGCACATACCAATGCTCACATACGAAAGCTATTCAAAACCTGAGCTGAAAGGCAGAACAGGTCTAGAAAAGAAGAAGTAGTGGATATTTTGCAGTCAACTTCCATTGTAAAGATGGCACAATTTTAATTTCAAAATGTGAACTAAGTTTATTATTTATTATCACAGGATTATCAAATCAAGTGTCATTTTCCTGCTCTGGAAAGTCTCATGAAAGAGTGTTGGAGTCAGGAAATGGATGACAGGCCATCTTCAGTAGAAGTCTTTAAAATGATTAAATCTGACCAGTTTTTGCTTCTGTACGATTCTTTAATACTGGACAGAAAAGCTGAAGATAATTTAGAAGTAACTTGTGTCTATGCCTGTCAGGTTAGTAATTATTTATATTTGTATTTTCTCTTAAAATAAATATGTACAGTGGTGTCTTTGCCACTAGTCACAAACAAATCAGCCCAAAAACAAAATTTCTGAAAAGTTTTTGACTTGACCCATGAGCAATGCCTCGGTGTATGAACACACAAACATGGTTTTGGCGCCATGTTTTCGGCTCACGGATAGCATCAGTTATACTCAGGTTTGGGCACTGTGAATAATGTTTGTCATTGTGTTGTTCTTGAAACAATTCTTTTTATCAAAGAAATTATTAGCAAGTGGATTGGAGTGCAGGTTTTTATTGATAAGCATCACTCTAACATAACTTTAACATTATTAAATGACAGTGTGATGTCCTGTTTTCAAAAAATGATCCAACAAAGTCATATGTGTCAGGATTGTTATCTTGTGAAAACATCAGCCACCCAGCCAGCAATCTAGCCACTTCCCAGGATACAAACAAGGGAGAATAACACTAGAAATATCTGCACAGTTGCCTGATGTTGTTTTGAAATGGAGCTCTCCTTTAAAGGAGTAATCTTTCGCCTCCTCCTCCTCTAACCATATTCATGTGCCAGCAATCATCAACTGCAATAGTAAAGAAGTGGAAAATGTAAAAATAAAATCAATAAAAATGTAAGCAATAGATAAAGGTATGCTGAAAATTGATCCCATCAGTGCTGAGAATGTTGAAAGTGTATGGGACAGTTATCCAAATAAATATCAATTTATATTAAGACTTCCCTTCCTTTTTAGGATGGAAAGTTTGTTATTTAAGTCCTACTCTGGCTCTTGCCAGGGGCTGCAATATAGCCTGGCCATAAATATGGCCTAAAGGCTGAATGCGGTTTCTGGGACCTCTCCACGGTGATTCTCACCTACATAGTGACATATTGTGTCATCGGGTGTTTATCGCTTGTGTGATGTCTTGGTGGGGTAGAAAGTCAGTCAGTAAATATAAATAGTTTGATCCCTGGAGCAAGATTTTATGGCAGTAACAGAAATGTTGATTTTGCCTTTGTGGTCATAAGTATTGTATTAGGGTTTACCCCTTTGATGCAGTATCTCTTTGAACCTTCACATCTGTTTTTAGCAAAATCTTCATTAGTCACCCTTTACACCAAGTTTGTTAAAGAGACTATTGGTCTAATCTTTCTCCCTGCAAAATGGGGCCCCAGAACCCACATGGAGGCTTTACAATACTATCTAAGTCCTTCTGTTGTTAATAGCCATCTATAAATAACTGCTTTTTATTAGTCTCTCTTTCCATTCATATTTCCATTTAACCGTACGTCGGTACTTAACTGACAGTTGCCTTCAATTGACACTCAACATCAATCAGCAGGTTCTTTACAGAACGTCACTCTCTTCACGGCATATATGAAAGGCTCTCTATCTCTAGCTAAAATATTCATCTTTAAATGTGTTCATAACCTGTGCATCTTCAGTGTCTTGTATTCACCTTTGCAGAAGTCAGCCTCTGCTTCATTTTCTGCTAAGGGTACATTTAACCCAAGCCCTATTTATATTTTAAATAATGAGGTAACATACAATATACTGCACAATGTATTGCCTGCCATATTTTGTTGCATCTCATCAAGTGCATTACTAGAGTTACCTCAGCATATAGTTATGCACAAAATATTACTCACCAATCAAAGTTTGTGATCAACCACATGATTGCTGTCCTTCATTGTTTCTTTCTGTAAATTCTTTAAAGCAAAGTAAAGGACCCTTTTCTATACCTTCCAGTGTGATGGGCATATAGTACTAGATTTATATGTTAAAGACCAAGTGTCACTTAGTGATTGATGTGGTCAGTAACACGCCAGACCTTTTACTTCCTAGGACTTTACCTGGTGCTCTCTTAAGGCTGGGTCAACCTGGGAGCCAAGGTCACATGTGAAAGATGTATGGCTCCATTTGGATTTCTTCTTCTTCTTCTTCTTTGCGTTCGGTTTCGTATGCTCAGATCAAACCATCAGGTGGGTTGCCTCTATTAACTCGCATGTCAGCTGCAGGTCCTGCATGGTTCCCCATAGCTTGCTCTGCACACTCTGCTCTTGAGGCCAGGTGTCTTTTCGAAGTTGCAGGTAGAGTGGGCAGGTCTGCAGAATCTGCTGAGGTGTTTGGGGTCCTGTTTGACAGGCACACTGGGGGGACTGTACAATCTTTATTTTATGCATGTGGTAGTTGAGCCTGCAGTGTCCTGTTCGTAGACAGAAAATTGTTGTATGTTGCTTTCTGTTGAGTCTGCTGATGGGGTCTTGTGGATGTTTACTGTTAGTTTGTTCTCTCCACAATCCCTTGTATTTTCCTTTGATAAGTGTTCTGATTTCTGGTAATGACAATGAATGGGCGTGTTGTTTCTCCTTTGTTCCATTTTTTGCAAGTCTGTCTGCTATCTCATTTCCTGGTATGCCGCAGTGAGCCGAGATCCACTGGAGAACAGTTTGATTGTTTTCTGTGAGTCTGTTTAGCTGACGGGTTTGAACCTATGACCTTTGGATCCTCAGCCGAGCATCTAGCCGTTACACAGCTGCACCTCCTGTAAACTCTGTAGTAATACTGTAAAGCAACTGGCATGATTTTGACTACCACCCACTAAGTGTAGATTAGTTTGTACAGACGTGAGAAGTATCCTATGCCCAATGCATGCAGCATTGGTGTGAAAAGGGTCTTTTAACTCTATCAGTCCCAAACAGTTATTTCTTTAACTGCTGTTATTCTAGGGAGAGCTCACAGCAGTTGTAATTTATCAATAAAGCTTGTTATGTTCATACACTAATATGTATATTATGAATATCAAGGGGGAAAAACATGGGTGGTAGAATGCATGTGCAGACTCACGTGTGCGCACACACACACACACACCCACCCATATACACACACCACACGCTCATTCACTTTACACACACACACATACATACATACACAAACACCCATGTACATACACGCCCTAATACATACTCACACACACACCTTCACACACGCAAGGCAGCAAGGATAGCATTTTATCTTTAAACAGTCAGGGAATGTATGGTAAGTGAATTGGTAAAGAAATAATATTTTTATTTTTAACTCATTTATAATTAATGAGCTGTAAATACTGGAACAACTCTTGTCTTTTTTTTTTAGACTCATGGACGATGGAGAATCTGGGTCAGTGAGAGTGGCCAGGGAAACAGCAGGTTCATCAGTGTCTACGATGTTGAGACATCTGGTTCATGGTGTATAGAAAGTTGTGCTGTGGACCTCGGATCAGCGGCATGGCAAAAGATGGTCAGAGAATATGGGTTGTAAACAAGGTGGGAGCTCATACTTTATGTTGTCCATGTGTGCTGCAGGGCCTTAATTTGGGGAGATAATTATAGACCAACTGCCCCTCTATTAAGCATGTAGTAATTAGAGTTATTTCCTTCAAAGTCGGAGTGCATCTGCCTGAGAGGCAAGGAACCAACAGTCTGCATACAAATAAGTCAGATCTATGAAATGGATGTGCAAGCAAGACTCAAGTTTTTAGTGTGGTTTAGAGCATCCTTCATATGTTTTATTGTTTAAGTTGTTTTCCCGTTTGATATTTTCTTCTCGTAAGATATTTCTAAAGTGTTTATTTAGCATTTGTAGGGTTCACGGACACAGCTAGTGGGTAACAATGAATCTCTGACAGTCACATGACTGATCACATGACCTTGGAGGGAAGCATGTCAGGGCCATCTTTAAGGTTAAGATAGGAGACATTGTAAATAATTTCTTCTGGTAACAACCAGCAGAGATATCTTGGGATGGTTGCTGCATCCGTGGACGGAGCAGGCATGGGAATTCACTGTTTGCAGTGACATTGATTGTGATAACAACATTTCTTAGACCATGCAAAGAGGAAATCAAGCACAGTGCAGAACTCAGTAGCACCTGTGAGGATCCTTATGTGTGCATACACAAGAATGACACCTACTATACATTCTTATTGCATGTCTTATCATACAGTATGTGATCTGAATGGGTAGAAAGCATTCAGAAAACTCGCTTAACCTCCCTTACCTGGATCTACACACCTGGTCATGCGGTGTTATGGTTAATGAGTTAGTGGACCATCTGGCAAGCAATGCACCAAAGCATGAGGGGAGAAGCATAGACAGAGCAGATATTGTTAACGCTGTACGGACATGGCTAGCGGATAATGACGAATCCCTGACACTAACACGATTGCGTGACATAGGAATAAAGCATGGTTAAGCATATCTATGCTGTCTTCAAGGCCGAGATAGGAGACAATTTAGCCAGCTTCTCATGGGAACAATTAATAGAAGTACTTGTTTGTTTGTTTGTTTTAGTATCCAGAAGCCATGAGTTGTTAACCCTTAGGCTTGGTATTATGGATATCGCAACCTTTCGGCTTTGATTTCATTGTAAATACCGTAAATCTGGGAGAAATGTGGCTTTTCTGCCTACCCCCCGGGAGTGAACCCGGAACACAAGAAGTTCATCACCCGGTCACCACGCAATCCAGTTTAGCCAACTACGCTAGAGAGCCGGGCGTAGAAGTAGTTAAGAGTGGCTGCTGCATAGGAGGACTGAGCACACATGGGAATGCCTAATGTGTAGTGACGTTGATTGTGAACAACATATCTTAAATAGTTTGAAAATGTGTGTCTATATAGCTGTTTGTTTGAGCTAGTCTGCTCAAATTCCATTTGCCAAGGTTTTTTCAGTGTGCAGAACTTGCAAACCTTCTGTCAAGTTTTTAACCTTTGACTGAGAAAGTAGACATTTAAATTACTACCCCATAATCATGGATGAGTATTCCAAGCCTCATCTTATCTTTCAAAAAAAAAAAATCCAACCAGGCAGCACTGAAACTACATCAGCGTTATCCAGAAGTAGACTGCAGTCATTGATTTACTCTATTTCAACAGTGTACAGTTTTCAAGTATTTAATTAATTATGTTAAATGTAATAAATAATTCAAGGTTTTTATTGTAAATGCTTACAGGAATTAAACAGCTTGGAGGTCATAGAGCGAGGCAATCAAAGCAACTTTGAAGTTTGTTGCAGTGTCACTTTAGACGCAGTGGCGACAAAAATTGTGAATCATGTATATGAGAAATCAGAGGTAAACATTATCTTTTATTTTTATTTTTCATGCTGTCTTGAAAAAAAAATGCAAACCTATGGAAGGTAGATATAGAAATTAGAAACTGAAAATAAAAAAAGTTAAAATCTATTTTTCCCTTATCATTATTTATTGTGATTTAATTGCATACTGAATGGTCATTAGGAGAAAGCTAAAATGCTGCCCTACTCTCCTCACATGTTCCAGAAAACATATTATAGATGTTCAGCATTAATTGTCATCCTTCCCGTATTTTCTTTACATTAGTCTTGGATCTACCCTGCAGCCGTAAAAATATGTCTGAGCACAGGAAGCTATACATTTTTGTTCTTTACATATTACCATCATCATTAGCAGGTTCTTCGCAGAATTTCACTTTCATCATGGTCTGCCTGAAAGAAACTCAGTCCCTCACCACCTCTTCCAACTCATGCTCTTGCATACCCAAAGATTCACTTATATCCTGTGCCCATCTTTGGGCTGGTTGACCCCTGACTCTCCTTCCTGAAGAGTATGCCTTCTGCTGTTATTTTTTCCAATATGTCATTGTGCCTGATATGTCCGAAATATTTCACCTTCAGAGATAAGATGCTGTTTATTAGGAAGTCTTCCTGGAAGTTTAGATCTATTAGGAAACAGTACTTCTTTTATTCTTGGTCCAAGCCATTCTTAGAATCTTTCTGTAGCATTTCAGCTTAAAATCCCCTATTTTCTTCCTCAAGGATTGTGAGATATTCATGACTCACATCCATATGTTGCTACAGGGAAGATGCATGATCTCAAAATGTTGACTTTGATTTCCTTACTGCTGCTTAACCATAGACATTTAATGCTGTTTAAACATGTTACCATATATTTCATAATTCCATCTTGATAGCTGTGTTAAAAGAAGAATTGTATAGTTTTCTGGTGTTAAGACTATGAGTTGTACAGTTTTCTGTCTGCTGTTTAAAGATTTCACAACTCATAAAACATTTAGATTATGAAGAGTGCTGTGTGGAGCTTGGCTTTTGCTAGAATTCAGTTGGAATGAATATTCAGTATTCTTTAAGCTCATGATAATTTAAAAAATTGACATGTATTGATTGGCACCCATAGAATAAGTAGAGAGATAAAGAAAAACACCTAGTAAGCAGGACCTCAATCCCATATTACAACTGGAAGTAATGACTCTGATCAAGATATACAAAAACTCCTGGAGGCAGAGAACAAACAGTGAACATCCAAATGACCCAGTGAACAGATTAACCAGAAGGTAGTACACCAGATTTTTTTTTACAGAGAACAGGAGTGGCAGACTTTACGAACATTTGCACAGAATGAAGACTGCACAATCTGCCCAGTGTCCCTGCTAAACAGCTCTCCAAACAGCTGAGCCCATACTGTAGAACTCTGGGTGCCTCATTCGGTCAAGCACAGTCTGTTACATAAGTCTCACCTTTTTGAAACGTCCTACTCCACGCATACACTTGCTGGACTGACAGGCATGCATCACAGCACTGGACTTTAATTTGGCGATAAATTTCTAGTCTTTGGCCCTTCACTTAATTAAAACAATAAGATAGCAGCACATGGTTGAGGTATATTGAAAGAATGTCAGATGACAGAGAAGTAAAAACTATACATACGGGAGATTAACTCTTTGAGTCCCAGGGGGTTTTGCATCAGAGGCCTGGGGTAGGGGGGGGGGGAATATGATTTTAACTTTTAACAAATGCAGCACTTTAAAACAAACCACACAACTGCAGCTGATGTCCAACATACACATATCATACATGAAAATAAACATAAATGGATAAGGATTAATTTTAGCATACTGCTACAACAAACAATTATACCGTTAGTTAGTATTCAGTAGAGAAAACAGTGACTTAGTTTGAGAGGTGAGTAAATTATGAACAAGTTTTTTCCACTTACCCAGAAGCTGATCCCAAAATTCTTGATATAGTATATCCACAATGCATCACAAAGGAAGGTACACCACTTATAAGTATGCACAGCCAATATTAAAGCAAAATGTGCAATAGTTGTTGTTCCATAGCAGCTTTAATAGCACTACCATAACACGTCAAAATATATTCTCCAGTGGCACAAACAGTGACTTTTCTAAAAACAATTGAATTCCTCACATAGAAAAAACTGTAAAGGCACTGTAAACATGTCAACCTGTTTATAGATATATATCTATGGTTTTAGATGATATGGATAGTAGTACTAGAAGCACTGACAATAGGACTAGCTCGTGTCGCGTTATGAGGTGCTTCAGCACCACTATTCTCTTGTGTTGCCCATGGCAGAATTATTCAGTTTTGCCCTCTTAGCAGGAGGTAAATAACGCACACATCCTCATTAAAACTTGACACGTCAACGGTTTGGGGAAATTCCACGTCGCTACTATCATCATCCAACTCCACATTACTTTGATCGATCCACTGTTTTATCAAATTTGATGCTTCTAAAGCAGTAAATCGCTTTGCTGGGCGTGAAGACGATGACTGATCGGACATCTTGTTTTCAGACAATTGTTTGGTAACATAGTAGACCACACAAATATCGATTTAAAGCGTTAAAAACTCACCAGACCCAAACGAATGCACTCCACATGTGTTCACTACACACTTGAGAACCGGAAAGGAAGTTTAAATTGAGCGTTTCGCGTGTAATTACCGATGCCACATGACATCCTTAAAAGACAGTGTTGTGGTTATATTAATTTCTGTCACTTTTCAGGTTTTATTATTGAGGCACTGTCATGTTTTTCTTTTTGATTTCTCTTCTCATCGTAGGTTTTCACATTTCCATTTCTGAAATCAAACTTGTATTGCAGTTTGTTTCCATCGTTATGATCATTTTTTATGGAGTGGTGTTTTTATGTAGTGAAGTATTTATTATTGTCAGTGTCTGTGGCTTAGGCATTGCAAACAGGCTTTGTAATGCTGTTGTGCCATGTTTGATCCCAGCTGCAGGCGATTTGGTATCAGACCATCTTGCATTGGTTTCGATAGTGGTACCAAGGGCTGATAGTTCAGTAAACAGTGACAAACTACTGACTGTAAAATTTGCCTACAAAAACTGCAACAACCAAAATATGCTTGTGTTGGTTCCGCAATGTCCTATAAAGGATACGCAACTAACTTTTCAGTGAAGTTTTTATGTTGTTTTTATGGAGCTTCTTAGTTGCTTTTGTATGCTCAGTCATTGGTTGGTTATCATGTCCTTCTGTCATATGTACTGCCAGGCATTTCTGATACAGCTTTTCAGTACATTACATAATAAGCGGCCCACAATGAGAGTGACTTCCCTTCCCATTGATGCCTTGATCTTTGTGTAGTGCTTGCACAGTGCTGGAGGTGTTTCAGGGGTAGTGAGTCGTATTTTACTCCTTGTTGTCAGCGGCCAGTGATATCGCATCTTCTATGCTGTGAGCTTTTAACAATAATAACAATTTTTAACAGTCCCAAAACATGTACAACTGGTCCTAAACCCCCCCCCCCCCCCCACTTCACAGCCTCAGCCTATGTCCTACAACTGTATGCAGCCTCTATTATATGCTGCATACAGTCGTGCGACCTAGGATGCACCCCTGCGACATAATGCAAGCGCTATACCAGATCAAGGCATCAATGGGAAGGGACGTCACTCTCATTGTGGACCGCTCAATATGATTAGAACCACTTTTCTTTCTTGCCGTGATGCCAGACTCTTATGTCTTCTGTCTTCACCTCTCTCTCTGTGTCACTTCATCTTTCTCATCTCACTTTGCCTCCTCATTTTTGGTTTTCCTAACATTGAACCTTGAGAAGACAAACTCACTGTATTGATTACTTCTTGTTAAATTCCACACCATGTGGCGTTTGTTGTCATATCTATCCGCAACCTTCTGTCTTGTGTACTTTCAATCAGTTTGGACACATATGATCCCCCTGCCATGATGTCAGATTGTCCAGCATTCTATCTTTGTCTCCTTCTCCCTCTCTTCCCCTCCAACTTCCCACTGTCATGATGTACTTCAGTTTTCTCCTTCTCATTACGTGACTGAAGATTGTAGATTGTCTCCTTCTGATGTAGGCAGTTGGTTCTCTTCAACAGTCAGTTTCTTTCAAGACATCCTCATTACTCTTTTTTTTTAAAATCTTTTGAGGGTATTCATGTCAATCGTCTATAAAACCACATCTCAGCAGCTTCCAAATTATTGTTTCACTAATCAACCAACTCGCCCGTGTGTCACCGGGGCCCTCACGGGAAGCAAAGAATAGTGACACTGCACCCTACCAGGCATGTCGTAAGAGGCGACTAAGGGTAGGGTTGGGCGTGAGGTTGGCTACCTCATCCTGTAAAAACCATAGCCACAAAAACTAACCAACCATGGATAAGTCAAAAAGAGAAGCAAATAAACTCCAGCCAACCAAGATGAGGGGAGGCTCTTCAAATAGAAGAAGTATGACACGGTGTGGAGAAAGCGTAAGGAGTCCGGATCGTTGACTTACCTCCTCTCAGCTAGGAAAAACCTCCAGAATTGGCACCTGGAATGTTAGAACTCTCTATGATATAGGGAGAACAATGGAAGTAGCAAAGGAAATGAAACATTATAGAATTAGTATTTTGGGGTTGTGTGAAACTAGATGGACTGGGACAGGGAAAAAGTATTCTCAATTCAGGAGAAACTATTTTGTTCTCAGGACACACAGAGGAAAAATTCGCCGCACAGTGAAGGAGTGGCCCTGATGCTATCAAAAGAAGCAGACAGGGCACTAATAGAATGGAAGCTGTGAGTCCCAGAATAATAAGAGCATCTTTTAGAACAGTAAAACAGAAGGTGAACATGTCGGTAATACAGTGTTATGCACCAACAAATGATAAAGATGCATCTGTTAAGGAAGAATTTTACATGCAGCTTCAAAATATTATAAATAATGAAAGAAAGGGCAACTTAAAATTTTGATGGGTGACTGAATGCTAAGATAGGATCAGACAGCATGTTTTATGAAGAAATTATGGGGAGACATGGTCTAGGAGTAATGAATGAAAATGGAGAATTGTTCACAAATTTTTGTGCAGGTAACCAGTATGTTATTGGTGGAAGTATTTTCCCCATAAAAGAATACACAAGGCAAACATGGGAATCACCAGACCCATAAGACAACTAATCAAATTGACCACATATGTATTAACAAAAAGTTTAGATCATCCCTTTACGATGTTAGGGCTTTCAGAGGTGCCGATGTATTTACTAACCATTTCCTGGTGATAAGTAAAATCAAGTTGAAACTTAAAAGATATATAACATCTTACAATCATAGAAACCAATATAATGTAGGCTTTCTCAGAGATAAAGAAATTAAGGAACAGTTCTCAGTTACGGTCTCTAATAAGTACCAGGTGTTGCAGCAGTTAGCTGAAGATGTCAACACAGAAGTCTGCTGGGATCAGATCAAAGGAATCTGGAATGAATCTTGCATAGAAGTTCTTGGCAAAAAAGAAAGGAAACATAAAGCATAGATAACACCAGAAACCATTAAATTGATTGAAGACAGGAAAAGTAAAAAGGCAGAATTAAACAATAGCAAAACTAGAGATGCTAAAGCTAGAGCTCAGGAGAATTACACAGAAGCCAACAAGGAAGTTAGGAGGCATATAAGGGCAGATAAAGTGAAATATCTAAATGATCTAGCACAAGAAGCGGAGACAGCAGCAGCAAAAGGAAACCTCAGAGAACTTTACAGAAACACAAGAAAATTAGTAGGTAAATATAGTCAGCCAACTGGATCAATCAAAAATAGTCAAGGAAAGGTACTTACTAACACTAAAGATCAAATGGATAGATGGGTTGAATATTTTGAAATGCTTCTAAATAGACCAGGCCCAGAGGTTCCCCCAGATATCCAGCCTTTAGAAATGGAACTGAATATCAACTGTGAGATACCATCCAAAGAGGAAATTAGAAAAGCTATAAATCTTCTTAAGGAAGGAAAGGCGTCAGGCCCAGATGGTATCCCAGCTGAAGCCATCAGGACCAACATAAACACATCAACAGAATTGCTACATAGATTATTCAGACCGAAGAAATACCAGCAGACTGGAGAGAAGGATATCTTGTGAAACTGCCCCAAAAAGGTGATCTACAGGAGTGTGAAAACTATAGAAGAATTATGTTGCTGTCAGTTCCTGGAAAAATATTAAGTAGAATTATTTTGGAAAGATTAAAAGATGCTATTGATAAAATGCTAAGAGATGAGCAGGCAGGTTTTCGGTCCAACAGATCCTGTACTGATCAGATAGCCACATTGCGTATTATAATAGAGCAAAGCATTGAACTGAACTCACCACTTTACATTGGATTTATAGACTATGAAAAAGCATTTGACAGCATTGATAGGGAATCTCTCTGGAAATTGATGGGGCACTATGGAATCCCACAGAAAATTATCAACTTAGTAAAGGCAACATATAAAGACATGAAATGTCGAGTTCTTCATGAGGGAAAGCTAACAGATGCATTTGAAATAAAAACAGGTGTGCGACAGGAATGTCTTTTGTCGCCTCTCCTATTTTTACTGGCTATAGACTGGACTATGAAAACAGTAACTGCTAACACCAAGAATCGAATTCAGTGGACCCCTACAAAACAGCTTGATGATCTGGACTTCGCTGATGATATTGCCCTTCTGTCCCATTCACGGAATCAGATACAAGATAAATTAAATATACTTAATGCGAGATCACAGCAGCTTGGTCTGAAAATCCATAAAGGAAAGACAAAGATAATGAGAATAAATCAGGCAAAAAGTAATGTGGTTTCTCTTAATGGCACCCCACTCCAAGACGTGGAGTCGTACACCTATTTGGGCAGTAATGTAGATAAAGATGGAGGAACTGATAGAGATATTAAAATAAGAATACAAAAGGCAAGAGGGGCTTTCATAGCACTAGGGAATTTGTGGAGGTCAAAAGAAATTAAAAGAAATACTAAACTAAAAATTTTTAATTCTAATGTCAAATCAGTACTATTGTATGGGGCGAAAACATGGAGAACAACGAAGGCAATTACTAATAAATTACAGACATTCATTAACTGGTGCCTGCGCAGAATAGAGGGAATAAAATGGTATGATAGAATAACTAATGTAGAACTTTGGGAGAGAACTAAACAGGCTCCAGTGGATCAGGAGGTGAGGAAAAGACGCTGGCGTTGGATAGGGCACACACTGAGAAAACAGGAGAACAGCATAACTAGAATGTCTTTGCATTGGAACCCACAGGGGCATAGGAATAAAGGAAGACCAAAAAACACATGGAGAAGAGAGCTGGAGAATGAGGTTAGAAAGATTGGGAGGACATGGGGAGAGCTCCATGTAATGGCGAAGGATAGAACGACTTGGCGTGAGTTGGTTGAGGGCCTATGCTCCATTGGGGGATAAAAAGGCAGAAGAAGAATCAACCAACTGTCCATGATTCACTTCCGTATATAATGATAGGATTTATGTAGCTTTTAAGAATTCTCGTTCTCGTCTCAATTGACAAAGAAAGATTGCATAGAATATTTTTCATTTTGTAAAATGCTGCCTTTGCTTGAGCTATTCTAAGGTATTGACATAGGCACATAAATGGGAGTTCATAGTCCTAGCATGCTACAACGAAGTTGCATGAATTTTGAGTTAATTGTGAATCCAGAATAAAAGGATGCATGAAGGGAAGAGTATGGTGTGAGTATAACCCAGTATGTTACTGAAACTGTGGAAGACAAACATGTATGTTTCTACCTCAAAAACAATACTGGTTTTTAAATTAGTAATTCATGCTGCAATATGACCATGCTTTGTCTATTTTCACAGGACAAGAGCTTTCTTCTCATAGGCCTTGAGAATGGTTGTCTCACCACAATCCATTCAAGATCATCTCCATGCAAATCTGTGACAGCTAGTACAAATACAGAGCTACACAGAGCCACTCCTATTGCAGACATCTGTTCAGTTGACTTCTATCGAATTGCAGTAGCCTGTGGCATGGCAGTTTGCTTTCTGAATGTAACCTTGCCTGATTGTCAAGAAGGTGTGAAGGGTATCTGGATACCTGAGCTGGTCAATAGTGGCATGGTGTCTATGAAACATGTTGCTGATGTTTATAGTCCTGTAGTTGCACTGGTTGCTGAAGGAAATTCTGTTTGGTGCTGTTTGGAGAACAGCTCCTGTTTGGTGAAAATCAATGTGGATCTGATGAGAATTGTGCTGATTGTAACCGTTAGTTGGAGTTCTGTGAGTGATGCAGTGAGACTAGAAGAAATGGACAAAGTTGAAAGACCACCTTTGCGGTTGTTTGCTTCAGACAGTGCTGCTGAATTAAGAATTTCCAATGATGACAAATATGCCCTTGCATTAGCCAGCGGTTGCCGAGTATCTGTAGATGATGATGTTTTCTCCAAAAAAGAACCGAGTGAAATGGTTGGAATGCATTGTTCTTCAGAATCTGACATTTGTGCTGCTAAAAGCATTTCTGAAGAACTTGTTTCTGCTTCTGAAAGCAATGATTTCACAAGGAATAGAAGTCAGACAACAAACAATAATGACAAACCACCATTGCCACCGCCACGAAGAAATAAATCTGCCCTTGAAAGAGCTGTTAGTATGCCAGGGCTTCAGGAGAAGCCACCTTTGGTTCCAGAAAGATCCCACTCCCAAGAAAACAATATCTCTATCACTAGTCTGTGTGTAACCTGTGACATCTTGGCCATAGGCACCAGTAATGGGGGCATATCGTTGCTGCCACTGGTTTACCACACAGATTCTGATAAATCTGGCAGTCCTCCAAGTTTACCTTTTCAGTTGCCATTGTTAAGACACCCCACCACAAGAAAAGAGCATACAGTGAAATCACAGTTACAGAATGTTTTTGCCAGGCAGGGTAAACAATCTGCAGGATCAATTTTGTGTCTAACTTTAGCAGGAAAGAATCTTGTCTCTCTTTATTGTCCAGCTCAGGTTTCACATCGAATTAGTAGTAGAACTGATGGCGGCAGAAAAAGATTCGGAATCATAATTAATGGTAACCAGTTAAACATATGCAATGAAGCTGACAAAGATACACAAGACTTTGTACAAACTCCAAAAGGCAATGCTGAAAGTGTCGGTTGTCGTAAGGAGCTGCCAGTTTCGTTCCAACATTTCACATCTTCTGACACAGATAAAATGCAGCTACCTGAAGTTGCTGATATTGCAGTCTGGGATAACATCTCATGGAACAGGCTACAAACTGTTCGATCCTATGGCCATGAATTGATTGGTTGTAATGGATGGTGCTGTCTTGCACCTAGCCTTGCTGGTTCATCTGCTTCAAGTAGCTAGTCAAAGTATTTGTGGTTTCAAATGTCTACACACACATTCCAGAATGTAAATTTAAGAAAAGACTGTAACTGTCTTCTTGTCGTTTTCTTTTACTGCCCTTCATTCATCCCCTAGTATGATGTTGAATTGAGCTGAGTTGAGTCAAGAATTGACATCACAGCACTAGGGGCATTCCCATGTGTGCTCCGTCCTCATCTACAGCAGCCAGCGCTGCCAATATGGATGGTACCGGTCACAATCTGGTTATATGTCCATCTTGCCTTTCCTCTGAGGCTAGTGAGCTTTTAGCATTTTTTTTTGTGTGACAAGCTAGATGTGGTCAAGGCCTTTTGTGAGCTAGAGAACAGTGTAGAAGCACAAACAGATCATATGTTGTGGAGAGAATGTGGCGGGCAGTGACCAGGAAATCTGGCTGACACTCTACACTCTGAGCAAAGGCAAGACAGACAGATACTAAAACTGCTGCTGGTATTGGAACTCTGTGCTGGTTCCCAAAGATGATGACAGAGCATGTATAGGAATGTCCCGAGCACTATAATGTCACCATTATTAAGACATCCAAGCATAACTATGAGAGCAAAGAAAGAGATTATTAACAGCATATTCATTCCAACATTAAGCTACCAGTGCCAAACATGGTCACTATCTAAAGCTCATATATGCAAAATCACCTCCTGCGAGATGAGGTGCCTGAGGAAAGCAGCCAACCTAACCATACGAGGTCGTGTTAATAATGAAACTATTATGCAAACTGTGGGAACGACACCTTGTACTAGATTCATCGAGAAACAGCAGATCAAATTATTTGGCCATCTCCTTAAAATGCAGCAAGATCAAATACCATCACAAGCACTACATCTCAGAAGATCAACTACAAGAGCAAGAGGACGGCACGGAAAATATGGATCGACAACATTAAAGACACTCTACGCCTTCACGGATTGACAATAGCCAGTGGCAGCCAACGTGCACTGGATCGCAAATTATTCCTCCCCACGACCCTTAACAGCAGAAGTGGTTTATGATGATGATGATGATGATGATGACTATGATGTTACTTCTGGACTCAGCTCCCCCTGGATAAGCTTCCAAACAAGTCAGGTCAGGCATCCTATCCTTTGCCAGCACATACAGCATGACCCATGTCCTCACTGTCCTATTCAATCCTACCCCTAATCCTCTTCTCACCAACTTACTATTGTATCTGTGTGGTTAACAAATGGTGGTGGCAGTAGATAGGCTTTTAAAATGTCACGAGTCCCCAAATCCACTGCATTCTAGTTCATGTGTTTGTTGTTGAATTGTTATCCAGACCTTCGAGTGATATGTTATTATTTGAGCAATTCATTCTCTTCATTTTGTCATGAATTTCGTGATTAATTATGGTCCTAAGTGTATCTGTAGTGTATGTGATAATACTGAGAGAAAGAAGAGAATGACAGTTATTTTAGAAGTAAAATTGAAGTGATCAAAAGAGCTGAAACTACTTAAACTTCAGTAAGGCATTATTATATAGCTGATTGAGGGATTCAAAATACCCAATAATGGATTACTATGCAAAGTATTGTCTCATTACAAGATACTATCATCTGTAAGCTGCCTCATATTGAGATACATCTTTGAACAGTTTGGCTGGAAAACCTTAAACAGCAGCCTGTTCACTAGAGGTGATTTAGGAAAAGGCATATAGCCTTGCAATGAGCTTAAGAGTAAGTTAGTTGCATATCCTTTAAAGGACGCTGCAAAACCAACCCCAGCATTTTTTTGCTGTTGTGGCTTTTGTAAGCAGATTTTACATTCAGTAGTTTGTCATTGCACTGCAGAGTAAAGTGAACCTTAATTTAAATAATATAATACTAGCAAGGGCTTATTTTATTTCACTGCTTTAGAGCAGTGTTTCCCCACATAGGGTTCTTGCCCCATTGGCAATTTGATTGTTGAGGTGGGCAATTTGATTGTTTGGGGGCAATTTGAAAATAGACTAGTCCACAGTTTTAAGTTACATGGGCAGAGGGCATATGATTTTTAGAAAGGCTTAGGCGGGGCATTCACACCAAAGACAAAAGGTTGGGAAACACTGTTTTGGAGTATAGTTGTCCTTGGTGGGTAATAGTTGTCCTTGGTGGGTAATAGTTGTCCTTGGTGGGTAATAGTTGTCCTTGGTGGGTAATACTTGTCCTTGGTGGGTAATAGTTGTCCTTGGTGGGTAATAGTTGTCCTTGGTGGGTAATAGTTGTCCTTGGTGGATAATAGTTGTCCTTGGTGGGTAATACTTGTCCTTGGTGGGTAATACTTGTCCTTGGTGGGTAATAGTTGTCCTTGGTGAATAATAGTTGTCCTTGGTGAGTAATAGTTGTCCTTGGTGGGTAATACTTGTCCTTGGTGGGTAATACTTGTCCTTGGTGGGTAATACTTGTCCTTGGTGGGTAATACTTGTCCTTGGTGGGTAATACTTGTCCTTGGTGGGTAATACTTGTCCTTGGTGGGTAATAGTTGTCCTTGGTGAGTAATAGTTGTCCTTGGTGGGTAATAGTTGTCCTTGGTGGGTAATAGTTGTCCTTGGTGGGTAATAGTTGTCCTTGGTGGGTAATAGTTGTCCTTGGTGGGTAATAGTTGTCCTTGGTGGGTAATACTTGTCCTTGGTGGGTAATAGTTGTCCTTGGTGGGTAATAGTTGTCCTTGGTGGGTAATACTTGTCCTAGAGAAGGGGTTGGTAGTCACAGGTGCAAATAGTTCGAATTGGAGTGATCCTGTTGTGTTAGTAGCCTTGTGTGCATTTGAGGATTATAAATAAGAAATGGACAGACTCTTGGAGAGTCACAATAAACCAGACCAAAACCGTCTCGACTCTCTTTTCTCTTTCCACAAAGCCATAACAAGTTGATCTGTACCTAAATGGCAACCTCCTTCCAAAATAGGTAAACCCCACATATTTGGGAGTCAAAAGACTAACTTGGGGCCCCCACATTGAAGACATCCAAAGGAAATCTACCCTACAGCTCAGACTTAGACAAAACTAACTGGAAAAAAGCTGTGGTGCAGATGCCAATACTGTACGACAAGCATTCACAGGATATATATGACCAGAACTGGAGTATGGCATTGGAGCATACTCCTCTGCAGCCAAAACAAATCTATACAAACTGGACAAAATACAGAACACTGGTCTGAGTATCATCCTTGAAGGTATGAGAAGCACACCTGTAAATTAGCTGGAGGCAACTTCTAGTCTCCAGAGTCATCAAAATGAAGAAAAGGTGCTTACCCGAACAGAAAAATGTAAACGCATGAATAACAACCCCACGCACTGAATAGCAAACAGCTGAACTAAAAGCAGATTGAAAAGACAAAGCTTCCACCATCTATCAGGATTGTACTACGCCAAAAACAGTGACATCCTTTCTAAAGATCCTTCAACATGGGAAATGATCCAGGCATACAGCATAGATCTACAACCTAACTATACAATCACAACAACAATCCCAGGCACAGACAGAAAGGCTAAAGAATGTGACCTAATAATGTATGCACAGACACTTGAACATGTCTAAAACTCCTACCCAAAAACTAAATGGACATACCTTTACACCGATGGATCACTGGATGGATCATTACTCAGAGAGCCATATATATATATATATATATATATATATATATATATATATATATATATATATATATATATATATATATATATATATATATATATATATATATATATATAATATATATATATATATATATATGTATGTATGTATGTATATATATGTGTGTATGTATGTATGTGTATATATATATATATATATACACATACATACATACACACATATATATACATACATATATATAGGGCTCTCTGAGTAATGAGGAGATTCTTTTTATATATATATATATATATGTATCAGTGAGAGAGGCTAGGGGTGCTGGATCTGGTTTCCATCCATGAAATTTTTATTAGAATTTATTTTGTACACACTCATGCAGAAACTCACACATGCATGCTCACATGCACTCACGCACGCACAGATACACACACACACACACAGTGTCCGATAAGTTTCCATACACAAGAAAAATATCATTACGGTCTGAGGAGAATGGCACTGCGAGGAGTTACAAGGGGATCTTGCAGACGCCTCAACACGCATGGGAGAGGTGGGACGGGTATACAATCAAACAGTTACTGGTACCATCAGAATTTTAACTCTTAGTTTGCTGCTGAAGATGGGGACGGAGCGCTTATGGGGGTGTCCCGAGTGCTGTGATGTTGATTATCAATTCAGCATTCAACACAAGAACAATTAATGCATGTCACCATGAGTGTAATTCCAGCTGTGTTTATATGTGTTTTTCAGCAGTGGAGACGCACATCGAAATGTCTTTTCAAAACTGGTATTCAGGTGGAGCAAAATATGGAAATAAAAATTTTTTTCATTAACAAACAGAAATTTTAATTTTTCCTACGTATGGAAACTTATGGGATATGATGTATGTATGTATATATGCGTGTGCACATATGAATTAATGCATCTTAAAGATGCCAAAAGATGTTCTCAGTTCTGCCATTATTTTATATTTTTATAAAGTACCACATCTATGACCACAATTTATAATTCACAAAGAATTATACAAGAATTGTGACTTTAATTAAATTAACATTAGCTTATCTAACATAACGTTTTTTTTTTTTTTTTTAATTATCCAGAAACATGCTCTTTATGTGAGTAATTTTGCTTGTTTAAAACTTATTATTTCTGAATTGCTTGTATTGTTTTAAAGTTGTACCGGTAGTTTATACATTGTTTTATTTGTTTTATAACCACCATTTAAAATGTTTTAAAGTTATATGTATATTTAGGTTTGCATGCATGTGTGTGGATGAGAGAGAGAGAGCAAGGGAGAGAGAGAGAGAGAAAAAATCTTTATATTTGTGTCACCTTTAACCTTTAATGGTTAGAAAGGTTAAAAACAACAGTTACAATTTAATTACAAATGGATTA